CGGTGTTGCGTTCTGATTTCTAGGAGATTTGGGAAAGCCTTTTGGGTCGTATTGCGATATTTGAATTGGACGCCGTTAGGACTGAAGATTTACGTAGCCGCGTTTACAACAGGAATATATTCCAATGTATTGTTGACCGTGAGTTTAGAAATGCGATATATTTTTACCTTAAATGTTACTGGGTAAAGTTTTCCAAGATTACTGACATTTTGGCCAAGATTGAGCTTCGGCATCAAGGGTTCAAAATCTGCTGGAAAATATTTTTTGTCACAGTAAACGAAAGACCTAAAATTACAGGGTACTAAAACCCTTAGATCATTGTAAGTTTTAAATTTGATGTGATTTGCACCAGCCCCCAATTTTCCGGAACCGTTCCTTGACTCAATGAATGGGAGAGTGGAACAATAACCGTTGTTGCTAATACTGAAGCCGCCTCTTCATGTACAACAGAGTTAACAACATCCTGAGCAGAAGGAGTGTTCCTACGCCGATGCAGCAGTTTTTGATACACCAGATCAGAACTTGGGTTTATTCCTAAAAACCCTGTGCGGTTGAACGTAAGGCACCTGTGTGTGATAATTGAAGTGCTGTAAGGAGTTGTCGTGAAAGGAGCTTTGTGACATCGTTTTCATTGTAGGCTTAAATATTAGAACCTATGAAGTAGGAACTATCGCTTTAGCTTATTGAAAAGGGTTTGCATTACGTGATATGCCTCACGGAGTGAAGACAAATTGTTCGATACACCAATTTCATCCGGTCTATCCCGTCTTCGTTCTCCCTATAAAAGATCTGAATTCCTGAATTCCTATATGGACACGTTCATAGTTTCGCGGCCCAAACATCAATATTTGGTGAGCCCGTTTCCGAAGCAAATCAATTTTCTGTGAGTCTGCTACAAATCATTCCCACTTTGCTTTAGTTCTTCCGAAATGGCGGACAGTCACGAAACTCCCTACAACGTAGTACACTCCTGGGTTCAGGTCATCACTTTTCGACCTGTTTCCTTTATACTCCACGATCCAGATGTCTGGTTCAGTGCATTAGAAACTCAATTTGAGTTCCACCGCATCACGAATCAACGGCAAGTGTACAATCACGCCTGGGGTTGTTACCCGGGGATCAAATGTTTGATGTTCGCGAGGTTATTCTTAGCGCCCACGCCTCCATTATTTACGATCCTTTTAAAGAGACTATATTCAGATATTTCCCCCGACCCAGGGAGGAGCGATTAAGAAGCCTTCCAGCCAATCACCCTCCAGGTGAAGCTGGGCCACCACCTTTCCCTCCCTCAGTCACTGGCGGGACCCGCACCAGCTAACTCAGAGAACTGTGTCAAGAAGCACTACCAGTGCAGGCACAACCCAAAACCACAGCATTTCACGAGAACGCCTCTTACCACGGTTGCCCTCATAGCCGACAAATCCATCGCGAGTACTCACATAAGGTACAACTATTTAGTTACCTCAATGCTGGATGCTAACGTAGATCTCGACAGCGGTCATCGTCCAGCTCATAAGGATAGGCATGGTTGCATCCATAGTTGTCTCACACTTCGTGACAGTATCGACATTTCAGCACCCCGTTTCTCTCGAGGACGATCGCGACCACGTCGGATTGTAGCTCCAGATAGGCCCAAGAAAGCATTTTCCAAGCCACATCAGACGGCGTCCGAAGAATCGTACACTGTTTCAATGATTCTATCGCGCCTTAATACCTGGCGCCCGCTGTTGTCGCGCCTTACGCTCATATAAGGTGAGAAACCTCCATGCTGGCGAGTAAATATGGCCGTATTCACCTTCCCTTTAGGTCACGTCGGTCTCTTGTTTTGTGTGAACGATTTCCGCACTAACGCCTGGTATTTGACTGACACAGATGCCCAAGCTTCTGTCGAGACTTTACTTATTAATGGTGCTATCCGTCCTTTTCACAGTCCTTGATCCTCTCCTCTCCACATGGTTCGAAGGAAAGTTGAGATTAGCTGGAGAACATAAACTGACTACTGAAGATTGTAGGCATATCTCGGCGTCACTCAAGATCACGACCATCTTTTTTAAGATAGACCCAGTACGAGCATATCGCCAGATCCCTGTCGCTCCTGACGATATCGAGAAAGCCGCTATCACGTATTCTTTTGGTCGTTTTGAGTAGCCACGAATGCCATGTGGTTTACAGAATGCTGCTCGACCTTTCCAATGGTTTACGGTTAGTTTAGCATGAGACTTCGATTTTTTTCATGTCAATGTTCATGACTTACTAATCGCTCTATCTAACGTAGCGGGACATTATCAGCACGCAACATTGTTATTCCAACGTCTTTCCCATAACAGAATAACAGTTAACCAAAACAAGTGTGAACTTGGCAAATCAGAATTGGAATTCCTGGGTCACTGCATTAAGCAAGGGGATATCTGACCTTGATAGTATAAAGAACGCGCAGTAATGGAGTATACTTTACCGTCCACACTGAAAGGACTGAAGGCATTCCTCGGTTCGGTCAACTTTTACCATCGTTTCATCCCACACGTGGCAGAAAGATTACGATATTTAAGCGACTTACTTCGTGTTTGTCGACGTGAACTAGAGCTGGACGATTCCGCGCGTATTCCATTTACAGGGACCAAAAAGCCTTCGGCACAAGTCACATTTTTCATTCATCCTGAACCATCAACCAAGCTCAGCACAGCGGTTGGTGCATCTGATCTTTCTATAGGAGCTGCAGTACAATGAAACATCTCTGGAAGTTGGCAGCCTCTCGAATGTTTCTCACGGCACCTCACTCCCAATGAGACGGTGTATAGTGCTTTTGGTCGAAAACTCGTAGGGGTGTAGTGTGTCACCAAACATTTTTGGCACACAGTGGAAGGTCGTCAATTCATACTGTTCACAGACCTTAAGCATCTAATGCATGCTTTGCATACGAAGTTTGATCGTTACTCACAGCGGACATCCAGACTTTAGCCTATATCTCCCTGTCCACGACAGACCTTCGTTATAATAAAGGCGAGTAAAACCATGTTGCTGACCATCTGTCACGTATCCAAATAAATGCTGTTACTTCACCTGAGCTCCACCTGTCCTCTATGGCTTCCGTCCGAGCACGTGATTCTTCTTGTACGGAAACGGTACGTTCTACATCCCTTCAGTGCCATGAACTACTCCTAGCTGCAAGCTCAGGTACTATCATGTGTGATATCTCTAAGGGTCTACCTCGACCCATCTTATCCTCAGCTTATCGTTGTCCCATATTCGAGTCCCTACATGAACTATCCCACTCAAGCATCGCAGCCACTTTACGCCTTGTAACTGCTCGACACGTCCGGCCTTCCATGGCCACATTCACATGGGTATGATAAAATACCCACGTGCATCAAAAGCTTCACTAGATTGCCCGAGGTTATTCCTTTCACGTCTATTACAGCGGAAACAGTTACCCGCCGTTTCGTAGAATGGCGGATAGAGCTACATGGTTGTCCTTCTACTGTCGCGACTGATCGCGAATAACCATTTGGGTCCTAATTATTATCTTCGCGAACCGGGATGCCAGGTGCGGAACGCATCCACACTACCACCTACCACCCAGCATCAAATGGTTTGTTTGAAGGGTCTCACCGACAACTCAAAAGAGCCCTCAAAGCACACGAAACAACTGCTGGTATGAAACCTTACCGCTCGTTCTTCTTTCTATCAGAACCAAAGGCTGATATTCAGTGTTTCGCCACTGAACTTGTATACGGCACGACATTACGTCTGTCAGAGGAGTTTTTCACACTGTAGAGCAGTGACTCCATTACTATACCAGACTACGTCTAACGACTGTCTACGTACATGCGGACACTGCATTCAGCGTCAACTGAATGCAGCTTCTCCGGCTCACTCTACCTCGAGAGTTCACATGTTTTCATACTAGTAGATTCGGAACGGAAGCCTTTGCAACAGCCTTACGACAGACATTTTCCTGTCAAGGTTGATCGACATGGTCGACTCGATGTCGTTAGAATCGATCATCTCAAGCCAGCATAGGTCGATGAAAGTGCCCTATCCGATAAACCAAGACCCAATGCTATACCCAGCCCATCCAACAGCCAAATCCCTTCATCTTGTTCGAACACCACATTCCCCTGTTTCAGTTAACAGGACACCTCATCCGCACTATCTTCAGTCTAGGCTTCAGTCTCACCTCCAGAGCAAGCTGCTCTTGGCGTCGGATGAGACTGCAGTATCAGGCTATCAACTATGTGGTACGAACGAGACTACAGTCTCACATTAAGGTGGCCTGGTATACGTATCTGCACTCTTTCGAGACTAGTCTCTTAGTAAGCGAAATGTAGAGCATAGAACTCTATTCATCATTACATGGTTGCTACATTTTTTTCATAGTTCTTTTTGGCCTGAGCTTACACCATCGCGTTTCCGATACCGTTGACCTCTCTCAACCTTGTCCAAAAAGGGTCTGATCTACCATGCTTTTGTTAATGTACCTGGTCAAAACTCCGGCTCCGACTACTTCTTGCGTACGTGTGGCCTCAACTCTGGTTATTGTGGTCGTCTCTGGTTTCTCCACTCAACCTGGTTTAGTCCTTTGGTACTACATTTTTTGTTCGCCATCTTGTTTTGGTCCACGTGGTCTAATATTTTTCAAAGTTGTGTACGACCGCATTCCAAAGTTAACACTTACAACATATCCTATTCGCTAAGCGGGGGTTGGTTTGCTTTGAGAATAGGGTATAGATATGTGGCGTGTACGATTTATCATTGGGTGTGTTGACTACACAACGCCTGGCTTTATTTTCATGAGACCTGTACGCTTGGAAATGCCGAACCAACCCATGCCAGAATGGGTTTATAGGTGCATGAATTTAGGAGGAGATCTTAGTATCGTGCATTTTTCGTGGAAAACGGAGTGAATATAAGGGATGGCCTGGTTGAACAGTCATTATCTTCTTTCACTTTCAAATACCATCTTACTTACTGATTTGTACTTCACTAAGTAGCTGTTGTCCCTTCACTGCATGCTTTAAAATGAAATAAATAGTTTCCCAACAATGTACTTGGAGTGTATGGCAATTTTTTACTTAGTGTTTGAATAAATGTAGGACATTGGACATTGTGTAGAGCGAATATCTGGCTGCGAGGTATTGTTCACGAGGATGTCGTTGTCAAGGCACCTTTCGCCCCCTTTAACTTCTCTACCGCTTTGCCTGCCACGTTATTATGGTGGTGTGATTTTAGTGGGTGTGGGCGCATTAGGATTGAACTCCTACTTCATCCAACGAGTTATGAAAGCTCGCAAAGAACATAATGTTGAGTTGCCAATAATGTACCACCCTACAGACAAATTATTTAACTGCATCCAAAGAGCTCATCAAAATTAGTACGTCAAACATTGTGTAATTTTACCTTTCCAGCCTAGAAATTCTACCCTATTTCCTCATGACGCTATTTGTGGGTGGTTTGCGTTACCCAGTATGTTGCCATTTCCTTCATAATTTGAAACGTAGCGGACGTATACTGCATGTGGTGTAATATTCCTTCTTGGACGCCTGCTCTATTTTCAAGGGTATTCAACTGGAGGTAAGTGATAGTCATCTAAGGTGATTTATCCTGTATCAATTTTTCACTCGATGGTACTTTGTTAAGCGTATATATTCATCAAATCTCGTTTGATTATATTTACTAAATTAGAGCTTGGTGTGAAACTCCATTTGTAAGTGAGACGACGAAACTCTTATGCAGCATACGTCCCTTTCCTATTCTATGTTTTGCAGATATAACTGTTATAGCTAAGCTCTTAAGAAGAGCTAAATGGATAAACCCGTGATTCTATCGGACCACACAACAAGCCTTACCCATATGCAATTCATACAGTACATATAGATGACTGCCTTATGCTAGGACTAAAATAGATTGCAGTCTTCAGTATTGGATTATAGAGTTTATAGTCAGAGTTGACCGCTTCACTTATATGGGGAGTCTCATCAGTGCCGATGGCCTGGTGACTGACGAAATCTCAGCTCGGATACTGAAGGCTCGATTGGCTTTTGCCAACCTGCGTCACTTATGGCGTAGGCGTGATATCCGTTCTGCTGAATCAAAGGACGAGTGTACTGTGTAGTAGTTCGCTGTCTTACTTTATGGCTGTGAAACATGGCCAGTGAGAGTAGAAGATATTTGTATGTTACTGGTTTTCGATCATAGGTGTCATCGAAGCATTGCTCGTATACCGTATGACAACCGAGTAAGCAATGCTGTCGTTAGGAAACGGGTGCTAGGCAAGGATGGTAGATCAATAGATGAAGTGGTGAAACTTCATCAGTTGAGGTGGTTGGGACATGTGTTACGTATGCCTAACGACCGACTGTCTCGACAAGCTTTGTTTAGTGGTGTAGGAATAGGTTGGAAGAATGTTAGGGGTGGCCAAACCGAAACATGGTAGCAATCCATGAAGTCACTGACGAGTGGACTGAGCCATGTCGGTAATTGTCGACTACCTGGTTGGGGTCCGCGAGATGATAATAATCGATGGTTAGAGACCTTGAGTGACATGTCTCGAAACCGTTTGCAATGGCGCCAGTGCATTTATTCTTTGTGTTCTCTCAAACCATAATCTTCTGGATTCTTTAACACCTCTAGTTTTTTAGTTTCTAAACTTATCTCACTGAAGTATACTTCTTGAATAATATCTTCTAATCCTAATCTCTCCGATTACTTCTAATACCTTTACTACCTTTACTACTATTGGATTTGAATTGACAATTATATCTATGTGCTGATGTGGTATGGTAACATGAACTGATGTACTTACGTACGAAGTTCTACGTTACATCTGACTGACTGACAGAGTTGTGATTAGCTTCTAGGAATCCCGGTTTTGATTTATGATGAAGGTTAAAATATAAAGTTGGCGTTAGAATGAGTTTGTTCAGTCTGTATGTACCCTAACACCAAATTATTACTAATCCTGAATGTTGAATTAAAGTAATGGCGTAAACGATGCGAATTCTGGTCCATGCAATCCTGTCTTTCCCGAACATTTTAAGATTCTTTCCTAAACGAAGCTATTCATATTACAACCGGTAGATGTATTTATGCTTCGTAAACTTGCTTTCTCCGGATAGGAATTTGACTTAAACATAACTACTTGAAATGAATCAACCGTACTAAGTATTAAATGTAGTGTTTAGTTTTAACACTGAAGATGTATTTTACTGGTAACAAATGCATTGCATTCATGATTGAAATTATCAGTTTAGTTATTCTAAGCATTCGACATGTCTGATTCTAGTAATAGTATTTTCCTGCATGTTTATTTCTTGCATGCTACACGAGTTTGTGATTTGTCAAGCTTTTAATACATTGACTTGACTTACTAAAATGTCTTTATGTACTCATTTCTTTTTACTTTGAAAGACCCAGCAAAGCGTTATAAAGGTGTTGTTTCTATGGTCGGTGGACTCCCAATGCTTCTGGGATTGTTAGTTTTCGGCGTTCAACACTTGGTAGCAAGTATAAGGTAATATATGCAATGCTTCATTATTATTAAATTATAAAAAGCCATTATATATATTAGATATTACCTTAATTTTACATCTATTTCATGCTTTTCAGATGTACTGGTTGTGCATTACGTAATTAGAGGAAATCGGAGTACATAGAACAGCACTCATGAGTATTTGAAATTCTCATTCCTTACAATTAGTATGCAATTATTATTATTTTTCATTGTCGTGCATGCATTTAGAATAAAATATTTCACAGAAAAGTTCTTCCTGTTTAATTTATATCAGCATCAATTCTCACAGGAATATATGACTCAGTGTTTTTCTCAAGCGTCACCACAAGCTCAGTTGTCAGTCAGTCAGTCAGTCAGTCAGATGCAACGTAGAACTTTGTACGTAAGTACATCAGTTCATGTTGCCATACCACATCACCACAGAGATATAATTGTCAATTCAAATCCAATAGTAGTAGAGGTAGTAAAGGTATTAGGAGTAATCGGAGATGTTAGGATTAGAAGATATTATTCAAGAAGTATGATTAAATGAGAAAAGTTTAGAAAGTCAAAACTAGAGGGGTTAAAGAATCCAGAAGATTAGGATTTGATATAACACAAAGAATAAATGCACCGGCGCCATTGCGAACGATTTTGAGCCATGTCATTCAAGGTCTCTAACCATCGATTATTATCATCTCGCGGACCCCAACCAGGTAGTCGACAATCACCGACATGGCTCAGTCCACTCGTCAGTGACTTCATGGATTGCTACCATGTTTCGGTTTGGCCGCCCCTAACTTTCTTCCAACCTACTCCTACACTACAAAACAAAGTTTGTCGAGGCAGTCGGTGGTTCGGCATACGCAAGACATGTCCCAACCACCTCAACTGATGAAGTTTCACCACTTCATCTATTGATCTACCATCCTTGCCTAGCACCCGTTTCCTAACGACAGCATTGCTTACTCGGTTGTCATACGGTATACGAGCAATGCTTCGATGACACCTATGATCGAAAACCAGTAACATACAAATATCTTCTACTCTCACTGGCCATGTTTCACAGCCATAAAGTAAGACAGCGAACTACTACACAGTACACTCGTCCTTTAGTCAGCAAACGGATATCACGCCTACGCCATAAGTGACGCAGGTTGGCAAAAGCCAATCGAGCCTTCAGTATCCGAGCTGAGATTTCGTCAGTCACCAGGCCATCGGCACTGATGAGACTCCCCATATAAGTGAAGCGGTCTACTCGCTCGACTACTTCACTCCCTATCACTAGTTCAGGTGCCGATGCAACCCAATCTTGAAGCAACATTTTGCATTTCGAGGGGGAAAACCGCATTTCGAACATGCTTGCATTGTTGCTTAGGGTAGTCAGAAGACTGCATTTTGTCAGCATCTTCACCAAGTAGGACTATGTCATCGGCATGTTCTAAGTCAATAAGCGAGCCACCTGGTGGAAGGTCTACTCCAGAAAATTCAGACGAGGATAAGGTTATTTCTAGGAGCATGTCTATGATAAAATGGAGCAAGAATGGAGAGAGTGGTCATCCCTGACGGACACCACTTGATGTAGAGAATTCCGGTGACAGTTCGCCATAAGCTCTCACTCGACCAGTGGTGTTCGAGTAAAGAGCTTGCATAAGGTTAACGTACTTATTTGGTACACCTTTCAATGACAGACACTGCCACAGAACCTCACGATCCACAGAGTCAAATGCCGCCTTAAGGTCCAGGAAAACAACTATTGTAGGACGCCTAAATGTGTGTCTGTGTTCCAGGACCTGTCGTAGTGTGAAGATGTGGTCTATACATCCACGTCCAGGTCTGAAACCAGCCTGGTTTTCTCGAGTCTGCTCTTCACGAGCTTTCGTTAGGCGCCGAAGTATTATTGAGGCCAATATTTTAGATATTATATTAGTTAGGCTTATTCCCCTGTGATTGTCACAAGACTTTTGTCCTTTATTATAGATTGGGACAATCAGTGATTCAGACCAGTCGGATGGGATTGTGTCCAGTCCCCAGATTCTACCTAAGATCTCAGTCAACCTAGCAGATAAAACTGGACCACCATCCTTAAATATCTCAGAGGTCAGTCTATCGGGACCTGCAGCTCGTCCTCGTTTCAGATTTCCTAACGCTTTCTCAACGTCATTAAGACTAGGGGGACTTAGGTCAGTTTGCCATTCAGGATGACTGGAGATCGTGGGTAACCGAAGAGTGGCTCGTGGCCAGTTGAACTGATCCCTAAAGTGTTCTGCCCATCGATCCAGTCTCCTGGATTGAGAATGGATAATAATCCCATCCTTTTTCGAGATAGTCTCACTCACATTCGGGTTCTTAATACCAGGTTCTTTAATAAGGCGGAAAACTTGTCTACTGTTGCCGATCGCCGCTTCCTTTTTCATCGCTTTTGCTTTCTCCACCCACCACTGTTCGCGGTCGTTACGTAGACTTTTTATAAGTCTGCGCCTAAGCTAACTACGCTCTTCATCATGCTCAGAGTCAGGTGGGATGCGTTTTCGATCATCCATCAGTTCGGTAGATGCGACTGATATCCACGGCTTCATCCTAGCCTTATGGTTTACCTTACTAGCAGATATCACTGCTGTTTCCACAGCCTTTTTGATATCATACCAACCTGCTTCTGGATGGGAATCGCTTGCATGGTTGCTTAACTCTCTTTCTAGTTGCTCCTGAAATATTTTCTTAGTTGAATTATCATTAAGTAAAACCCTAAGAGGCTTCCTTACGGTGTCTTTCCCACGTCCAGTAAGCCTCAAACAGATACGAGCTCGCACTAGAGCATGATCTGAATCCAAACATGTGCCCCAGAACGAGCGACAGTCCCCTATCGAACCCCTCCATCGATGGCTGATGGCGATGTGATCTAGTTGAGTCCAACGTTGAGACGACTTTGGAGGTCGCCAGGTCAACAGATGCTTTTCCTTATGCCTTAAGCTCAGTTGTGATTCCGTTTCATTTTGTAAACTGCACAGTAATAAGTGCAATTTAAACTTGTAGGACGTGCCTCTGTTATTGGACGTCAACTAGCAAGGAAAATGCTCAAATTTGGTTTTGCTATATGAAGAAGCATAAATTCTGTTGAATTTATGTTATTGGTCAGATCCACCGACCGTAGCTGCCACCTTGATGTGGTGGTCGGCCTTGTCTACCAAAATGACCCAATCAAGCTATTGGCTGGAACATATGTTCCTGGAGGTTCTACCATGCCAGGCAGGCCGATTAGAGAACGTTGGGACTGGGAGCAGCTACTCAAGGTCTGAGGGTGAAGTATTGCTGACTGCAGAGGGGTGTGACAGCAGTAAGGTGTTTCCCTCGGACAACCAGCACCTGCAGTGATACTATATTCTCACAAGGAAGGAAGGGGTTAGAGAAGGTCAACCCTAAAAATGTCACACCTTACTACACAGATTCTCGTGGGAGTGCTGTAAGGCCTTTTTTGCAGCGGAGTCAACACTGTAAAAACTCATAAAAAGGCTTATCGTGACCGGCCTCAAGCAGTTGTCCCTTGGGCTCTGCGTTCACGCACCCAGGTCTCTAAGACCAATGCTAATATACCTTCCTTTTCAGGTTCCTCAAGAAACAACCTTCCACCATGTGGGCATCCGGCAAGTGACAACCGCCCTCATACCCGTAACAGCAACGAGACAAAATTGGTCAAAATCAAATCCTTCCGGAACCCCCTAACATCTCTCTTATCTCCACGACTAACTCTATTCACATTCCTTTATCACCCCACACCTCTGATGCAAACGATTCGAGTTCACGAAACGTTATTCCTGGTCTCCTGAAACCCCGTTCTAAACTATATGTTGGAGCTTTTAATGTACGGACATCGTGTCAAATAGGGCAACAAGCTTCCTTAGCTAGGACTTGAGAATCTCGCTCAATTGATGTACGCTGCGTTTTCGAAACGCATACAGGATCCTAGTAAAATAATACATTTGACCTCGCTTTGTCAATACAAAAAATAACTCGGTTTACACTTTGTGTATCGGGAAACCCCACTGCTGCTTCCCTTGGCCCAGCTGGTGTAGGTGTAGCATTGACTTGGAAAGGTGAACTAGATCCCCAAAAATGGGTCCTTAGAGATAGTCGCTTGTGCGCAGTCCAACCAAACGAGACAGTAAGGATTCGGGAAGATAGGGACACTCACCGTTGCCTATTCGTCGTATCTGCCCACGCCCCTACTGACTGCAGTTCAGACGAGGTGAAGGAATAGTTCTACGGAAAGCTTTTGAACCTCTAAAAGTTGGGCACTCTGATACACTAATAATGGCTGGTGACTTCATTGCTCAAGTAGGTAGGCTAAATGACAATGAAAGACACCTGGGTGGATCCCATGGTGTCGCGGCTCAGAGAACAGACAATGACGACCGTCTGTTGCAAATATGCTCAAATAACCGCCTATTCCTATTTAATACTAACTTTAAGCATAAGGAAAAACACCTTTTGACCTGGCGACCTCGAAAGTCGTCACAACGCTGCACGCAACTAGATCACATCGCCATCAACCACCGATGGAGAGGTTTTATAGAGGACTGTTGCTCGTTATCGGGCACATGTTTAGATTCAGATCATGCCCTAGTGCGAGTTCGTATTTGTTTGCGTTTCACTGGATGTAGGAAAAATATCGCTAAGAATATATTTGAGGTACAATTAGAAAAACAGTTGGGCGACCATGTAGTAAGTGATGCCTACCCTGAGGCAGCTTGGAATGATATCAAAAAGGCTGTGGAAACAGCAGTGATATCTGTTAGTAAGGTAAACCATGAGTTTAGGAAGAAGCCGTGGGTCTCAGTAGCATCTACCGAACTGATGGATGCTCGAAAGCTCATCCCTCCTGGCTCTGAGTACGATGAGGAGCGGAGTCAACTGAGGCGCAGGCTGATAAAAAGCCTTCGCAATTATCGAGAACAGTGGTGGGTAGTGAAAGCAAGGGAGATGGAAAAGGCGACGGTGATAGGCACTAGCAGGCAACTATTCGGACTCATCAAGGAAACCGGTATTAGGAACCCGAGTGCGAGTGAAACTATCTTGGAAAAGGATGGGATTATTATTCATTCTCAATCCAAGAGATTGGATCGATGGGCAGAACACTTCAGGGATCATTTCAACTGGCTTCCTTTCACGCTTCGGTTACCCACGACCTGCAGTCATCCTGAATGGGAAGTTGAAGAAGCGAAAGAAAATCTGAAGCGAGGGCGAGCAGCGGGTCCTGATAGACTAACCCCTGATATTTTTAAAGATGGTGGCCCAACTTTAGCAGCTAGATCGACTGAGATCTTAGGTAGAATCTGGGAACTGGATGTAATCCCATCTAACTGGTCTCAATTCCTGATTGTGCCAATTTATAAGAAAGGACAAAAGTCTTATGACAATCACAGGGGAATCAGTCTAACTAATATAGTTTCTAAATTGTTAGCCTCGATTATACTTAGACGCCTTACTAGTGCTCGTAAAGAGCAGACTGGAGAAAACCATGCTGGTTTCAGACCTGGACGTGGATGTCTAGACTACATTTTCACACTACGTCAGGTCCTAGAACAAAGACATATTCAAACGCCCCATAATAATAGTAATTCTCGACCGTAAAGCGGGATTAGACTCTGCTGACCGTGAGGTTCTGTGGCAGTGTTTGTCATTGAAAGGTGTACCAAAGAAGTACATTAATCTCATACAGGCTCCCTACTCTGACACCACAGATCGAGTAAGAGCTTATAGCGAACTGTCATCAGAATTCTTTACTTCAAGTGGTGTTCGTCAAGGATGTCCACTTTCCCCATTCTTGTTTAGTTTTATTATAGACATGCTTCTAAATATAACATTATCTTCGTCTGAATTTTCAGGAGTGGACCTTCTACTAGGAAAATTGCTCGTTACATAGAATATGCCGATGACATATTTCTACTTAGTGAAGGCGCTGACAAAATGCCGTCTTTTGATTACCTTAAGCAAAAATGCTTGCATGTTCGAGATGCGGTATTCCCCCTCGAAATGCAAAATGTTGCTTCAAGATTGGGTTGCATCGCCACCTGAACTAGTGATAGGAAGTGTAGTAGTCGAACGTGTAGACCGCTTCGGAGTTTCATCCGCGCTGATGTCCTGGTCACTTCTGACACAGGCGAGATATCCGTTTGCCAACCAAAGGACGATTATACTGCGCAGTAGTTCGCTCCGTCCTACAATACCGATGCGAAACATGGCCGGTGAGAGTAGAGGACATACGTAGATTGCTTGTCTTCGATCTTAGGTGTCTCCGGAGTATTGCTCGTATATCCTGAAACAACCGAGTAAACAATGCTGTCGTTAGGAAACGAGCACTAGGTAGGGATAGTAAATCGATAGATGAAATAGTAAAACTTCATCAGTCGAGGTGGTTAGGACATGTGTTACGAATGCCCAACCACCGACTGCCTCGATGAGCATGTTTTGTGGTGTAGAAGTAGGTTGAAAGAAAGCTAGGGGAGGTCAAATCAAAACATGACACGAATCCATGAATTCACTGACAAGTGGACTAATCATGTTGGTAGATGTAGGCTACATGGTTTGGGGTCCGCGAAATGAAAGCCACCAATGGTCAGAGACCTTGAAGGGCATGGCTCAAAGTCGTTTGCAATGGCACAGGTGCACCCACTCTTGGTGTTCTCTCAAATCCTAATCTTCTTGGTTCATCAGCACCTCTACCTTTATCTTTTTAAACTTATCTCACTGAAGTATATCTCTTGAATATTATCTTCAAATCCTAATATCCATTAGCAGTAACTCTTCTTCTATCTCTACCAGTATGGGATTTGAATTGAAAATTGGTTCTGTGTGCTAATCTGGTCTGGCAACATGAACTGATGTATCTACCCACGAAGTTCTACGTTGTGACTGACTGACCAAGTAGATCACATCGCTATCAGCCACCGAGAGACGGGTTCGATAGAAGACTGCCGCTCGTTCTGGGGCGCATGTTAGATTCAGATCATGCTCTAGTGTCAGTGCGTATTTTTTGCGGCTCATTGGACGTATGAAAGGCACCGCATGGAAACCTCTTAGGGCTCTACCGAATGATAGCAAGGGTAGGAATACATTTCAGGAACAACTAGAAAAACAGGCGGCCACACTGGTGGTCCCCACCATGAGTCTGCTTGGTATGATATTCAAAAGCCGCGGCGACAGCTGTAATATCTGTTAGGAAGAAGCCGTGAATTTCAGTAGCTGATAGATGCTCGGAAACCCATCCTGCCTGGTTCTGAACATGACGAGCAGTGGAACCAGCTCAAACAGGCTGATAAAAAGCCTACGCAATGATCGTGAACAGTGGTGGATAGCGAAAGCAAGAGCGGTGGAAAAAGCAGCGATTATAAGTAACAGTAGATAGCTGTTCCAATGTATCACGGAAACTGGTATGAGTAATCCATCTGTTAGCGAGACTTTCTGGAAAGGATGGCTGTATTATCCATTCTCAGTTCAGGAGATTGGTTGGTGGGCAGAACGCTTTAGGGATCATTTCAACTGGCCATCAGCCACACTTCGGTTACCCACAATCTTCAGTCAACCTGAATAGCGAATTGTAAGTCCTCTGACTCCTAACCAAGTTCACAAAGCTATGGGAAATCCGAATCGAGTGCAAGCAGCAGTGCCTGACAGGCTTACCCCTGAGATTTTTTAGCATGGTAGCCCATTTCTAGCAGTTAGATTGACTGAGATCTTATGTGGAATCTGGGAACTAGGTGTAATCTCATCTGACTGGTCTCGATCACTGATTGTCCCAGTCTGTAAGAAAAGCCAGAAGTCCTCTTGTGACGATCACAGAGGAATCAGTTTAACTAATATAGTGTCTAAATTATTAGCCTCAATAATACTTAAACACTTAACTAGAGCTCGGGAAGTATAGACTAGAGAAAACCAGTTTGGTTTCAGACCTGGACGTGGCTGTATAGACCACATTTTCACATTGCGACAGATCCTGAAACACGGACACTTCTCGACGTCTGAAAATAGTTGTCTTGCTGGACATTAAGGTGATGTTTGACTCTGTTGATCGTGAGGTTCTGTGGCAGTGTCTGTCATCGAAAAGTGTACCAAAGAAGTACATTAACCTTATATATGCTCTCTACTCGACCACCACTGGTCGAGTTAGAGCTTATGGCGACTGTCATCGGAATTCTTTACTTCAAGTGGTGTTCGTCAGGGAAGTCAACTTCCTCCGTCCTCGTTTAATTTTGTCATAGGCCTGCTTCTGTATAATATTCGATGGTTAGAGACTTTACACATCGCTCAAAATAGTTTCCAATGGCGCAGGTGTATTCATTCTTTTTGTTCTCTCAAATACTAACGTAAATTCCTCATCACCTCTATCTTTCGCTTTCTAAATTTATCTCACTGAATTATACTTCTGGAATCATATCTTCGAACGAACCCAAATCTTCTTCATTAATGCTAATACTTCTACTGTCGCTACCATTATGGGATTTGAACTGACAGTCACGTCTGTGCTGATGTTGTATGGCAACCTGAAATGATGTACGTACGTACGTACAGAGATCTACGTTGTAACTGACTGAATGACTTCATCAACTGAGGTGGTTGGGACGTGCGTTGCGTATGTTTAACCACTGACTGCCTCGTCGAGCTATGTTTTTTTATGTGGGAGTAGGTTGGAAGAAAGCTAGGGTTGGCACAAATCGGTGAAGTCACTAAAAAGTAGACTGAGTCATGTTGGTAAGTGTAGAATACCTGGTTGGAGTTCGCGAGATGATAATAATCGATGGTTAGAGACCCTGAATGACATGGCTCAAAATCGTTTGCAATGGTGCAGGTGCATTTATTCTTTGTGTTCTATCAAATCCTAAACTTTTGAATTCCTCAACACCTCTAGTTTTGTCTTTCTAAACTTATCTCACTGAATCATACTTCTTGAATAATATCTTCTAATCCTAATCTCTCCGATTACTTCTAATACTTTTACTACCTCTACTTATATGAGATTACAATTAACAGTTGCGTCTCTGTGCTAATGTGGTATGCCAGTTTGAACTTATTTACGTAGATACAAAGTTCCACGTTGTAATTGGTTGACTGACAGACTGATTGATCAGTTTCGGTGAACATTTGGGGCTCAAAGATACCCGTTAAGAATATATTTTTGTCAAAAGAACTGTACCATCTCCGTAATCGTTCTTTGATTTCAGGGTTTTGGAACATTTAGCGGACAGTAACAATCGATGTTCTATATTCAAACCTTAATTTCATTGTCATTTCCATCAATAGGGGGTTAAGAATTTAAGTCACAGAATTGTGTACAAAGTTGATTACTCACTACTTTTGATAACTTGATACAACACTCTTGTTACGGATTAATTCATATTCTATCAGAACTTAATATTTATGTTGTGAAGTGCTATCCTAATTTATCTTTTGCTCGCAGTAAAATGTATTTATTTTAGTGTCTGGTCTGTTTTTCTTGGCAGTACTTAATATCAAACTATAGATTCAGTACAAGACAGTCTTAAAGTGTTGTGGCATATCTATTAAGAATTGGTAAATATACTGTTGAAAAATTCCAAAATATTTCTGGTTTGCTGATTTGTTTGATCATTGTATCGAAATATCGGAAACATTACACGAAAGTCATGATCCATTCTCATTATGCCGAAAGCTAAAAATTTCTGAATTAATAATAAACGAAAATATTGTCCATCACCCGGGGTTAAGCTTAAAAAGAAAATTGCGAACGAAATGCGCAGAAAGAGTAGTTCTCTTTAAATATGTGAGAATAATCCAATCAGCAACCATCGGTTATTGTGAGCCAATTAAACATACATATATAGTATAGTATAGTATTCCTCATTGTTTCGTCTCTGGTAGTTCTGTGGATAGTTTGGATAGTGAATCATTCGAAATTTGTTGTGGGATTTCGTTGTATACAGGCGACTTTGTTTCAGTAATTTGTGGGGACTGAACGTCGGGACTGTTTGAGCCTTGCTTGTTTGTTCCGTCTGGTATTTTATCGTTTGCTGAGTGTGTTGCAGAGTGTAAAGGTTCGGATTCTCCAGTAGCTAACTTCAATTCTTCACCCAACGACTGTGGTACGGGTTTTTCGGTGGACTTTATTTCTAAAGTCGATTGTGTCAGAGTGTGACTGGTGGGGATTATGGGAATTTCTTCTGATATGTGTGTTTCCAATGTTTCTTTTGGTTTCTGTGGATTTACAGTTTTATGCGTCTCTAGTTTCTCCGTTTCTGGTATCGTTGGTTTCTCAGCTTCCTTCGGTGTTTGTGGATTTTCACTTTTTGGTGTCTGTCCTACTGTTTCTTTTGGTGTCTCTAATTTCTCGGACTTTAGTGTCTGTGGCTCAGCTACTTCTTTCGGCTCTTGTAGTTTTTCAGTTTCTAGTGTCTGTCTTAATGTTTCTTTCGGCGTCTCTAATTTCTCGGACTTTAGTGTCTGTGGCTCAGCTACTTCTTTCGGTGCTTGTAGTTTTTCAGTTTCTAGTGTCTGCCTTACTGTTTCTTTCGGTGTGTTTGGTTCCTCAGACTTTAGTGTCTGTGGCTCAGCTACTTCTTTCGGTGCTTGTAGTTTTTCAGTTTCTAGTGTCTGCCTTACTGTTTCTTTCGGTGTGTTTGGTTCCTCAGAATTTAGTGTTTGTGGCTTAGCTACTTCTTTCGGTGCCTGTGGTTTTTGGATTTCTAATGTTTGTGGTTTTACAGCCTTGGGTGTATGTTGTTTGTCATCTTTTGTAGACTGTTGTGTTTCAATCATTGGCTGTGACTCTATTGCACTACTGACTGGTTTATTTTCTGTGACTGATTGTTTTTCGGTTGGAAATTGTTTTGTTTCTTCTAGCACTTCGGTTTTTTTCGGGCGGATGACTTTCTTTTCTAAAAAAAATAAGAGAAGTTATACTTCAGAGGTATAGATGTATCTTTATTTGTTAATGTACCACTAGTCGAGACAATCGAGTTATACATAAACATATATTATAAAGTCATATAGAAATTGGTTCCCTTGAAGTTCGTCTTCAAGAATTATTGTTGTTTTATCTTCAGCACTAATTATAATACACAGTTTTGGTGGAATAGTTATGGTCTTACTTTTCAAATTTCTTAGCAAAATTAGAAAGTGAACCTTTGATGAGGTAGGTAATCGATAAATCAGATTTATACTCTTGTCACATGGATGATACATCTATCATTGTAGAGATCGGAATATGAATGAATGAAGAACAAAATCAGTTTAACAACTTATACTGATTAGTATGACAATAAACTAAATCTTGTCCACGTCTTATTAAGTAGACAGGGAGACGGTTCGTTAAGCAAGAGTATATATATTATAAGGTATCATGTGTTATTACACATACCGACAGTATCATACGCGTTCTTTACACAATACATCTGATTCCTAAACCTATCATCCTAGTTTATGTGTTCAAAAGTAATTTGTGACATGTCTATCTCTTCCTTGTTCGGATATAACATGTGTTGTTCTAATTTTCGAAGTTTTCAATTCTACAACTAAAAAACATCCAATTCAGAGAACAAAACTGCATCATAATGTTGTAGCTTATTTTAAATTATGATGTTTTTACCATCATAACTTAATGCTGTTGATTTATTAATCAGTTTTTTACATGAAATTCTTTCTCTTTTTTTTCTATTGTACTCGCAGAATTTCATTATTATATTGACAGAAATTTCTTACCATTTTTAGGAGTTTTTTCTATCTCTGACTACGATATCAACACACACACACACACACACACGTGTATTTGGCATTATCCCTTAGTTAGTTAGTCAGTCAGTCAGTCATTTACAACGTAGAACGTCATACGTACGTATATCAGTTCAAGTTGCCATACCGCATTAGCACAGTGATGCAATTGTCACTTCAAATTCCATAGTCGTAGAGGTAGTAGAAGTATTACCAGGAATCAGAGAGATTAGGATTCGAGGATATTATTCAAGAGGTAGAATCTGATCAAATAAACTTTAAAGGAAGGAGGTAAAGTTGATGAGGAATTGAGGATAATAAAATTTGAGAGAACATAAAGAATGGATGCACCTGCTCCATTGCAAACGGTTTTGAGCTATGACATTCAAGATCGTTGATCATCGATTACTATCATCTCGCGGGCCCTAACGAGGTATTCGGCTCCTAGCAACATGACACAGTCTTTTTTCTCTGACTACGATATTAGCACACACACACAAACTTAAATATGCATGGATTCAGCATGATAATAGTTCAATGAAATTGGTTTCGATTTTATCGTATAACATATTATATTGTAAGAGAGTTTGACTATTTTCAAAGTTTGTTGATACTTATCTGCATTAATTTAGACAGGTGTGAGAATTTTTCAACTTTTGAAATATGCACATCGATGTTTCGCAAAATCGACCAAATTAATTCAGATGCGTTTGTTGTTCATCTTTTCTTTAATCTCCTGTCATGATTTTTATTTCTCTATTTCATTTTTTCTTTTTTTTTTTTTAGAATCATATTCTTTACACTTTAGTCGTAGTGTGGTGCGCGCTACTTATAAGTAGTATATGACGTGAGTGTCAACGTAATGTCTGGCAGCAGAAGATGGGGGAAGATCAAGAAAGGAAGAGTGGGGAACACAATGGAATTTGTATGAAACGCATGAATAGTGAAATGTCAGACAATGGACTGATGATGGATTGAAGATTTGCAAATTAACGGTTACGATATGGTTTTCCAATTTTACTGAGTAACTCTGTAATTTGCGATTAATACAATTCGGTTGCCCCCACCTGTGTTCTCCTTCACTACAGTAGCAGTATTATCATTCTCTATGGTTTACTATTCATCTTGATAACTTCTAATGTGACAACTAAAATCGCAACATATTTATAAGAGATTTTTACGTTGACTGGTCATTTTGTGCCAGAAATTATACAAGACTCAATGTCAAATTAAAACAATCACATGAGTTTTTGTACAGTAGCTAAGTTTGATAATGTTAATTTGACTATTAGAATCGTCCCATTGATGCGTCAGACTGTAATTGATCAGTTTGTTTTTAGCAGAAAGTCCATCCTGTGTAGATCGGTTCAATAATACTACTAGTGAGTCACAGGCATTTTAAGCATACATAGATCGATACTGGCTAGTAGTGAAATCTAGGACACGCGTTTCGTCGTCTTATATGGGATTATTCAGATGTAGTACACTTGTATTCAAGAATAAGTGCTCAGCTGACAAGTCTCAAGTAGGACGAAACTCATATCCAGTGATCTAGTAGCCATACCCATCTCTGTTTATCTTGTAATAGCTTGATAACTCATTCTTGTTTGTTTTACTTGCATAATAATCAGTCCTATCTGGATAGGTAGGTTCACGCTAAGTTAATTTAGCCTCTAAGATGATAGATATTCTTATATAGTATGGTTCAACTTTTAATCACAGTCCTAGGTATTCAGTGAATGTCTACCTTGTAAATTCTGATCATTCTATTAATATTTTGTTATGATAATTTTCTTTTCTCAGTATTAAAAGAAAATAGAACTTTGATTGTGTGCAGTCTATGTACAAGTTTGTGCATTTTTTTAAATTAAGTTGACATTATGTTCATGATTTAAGTAAAGGATTCTTTTGAATAGTGTCACAAATAACAAATGATTCTGTAACATCATATGTACCTTCATATATTATGTGAAATTGAAAAAATCCATGCATTTTGTTAGTTGTAAAGCTAGTGAAAAAGTTCAGATTACTGAATGTTTCCAAGTTGCACTGAAACCAAACTATTTAGTCTATGTCTAATTTTTAATCATATTCTATCTGGTATTCTTCAATGATGAAGGTCTTCGCTTTCATTTTAAACAAACAACTTAGTTATGAGAAGTCACTCATATTATTATTTTCATGAAGTATAAAGATCAGAAGCAACCAACCAGCTTAACGTATTCATTTCTAATAATTTATTGTAAAATCTACATTTTAAATAGACAGACTATGTAGAGAATAGATCTTTGTTTAAAAGAGCTAACTACAAATTATTGTAGCATCTAATTTCTACGATAATAGAGAAGTGTGGTGAATAAATGACCCATTTGTGTTGGAAGTGAGCAATTTAAGGTGAATTTGTCTTTTTTTAATCAATCAATAATGGAAATGAATATAAAAATAAGTCAACATTCTTTCACCAGCTCTGGAAAATTGCTGAAGTTTATTATTCAGTTCATTTATTCAGGTATAGACTGAATTATTTGTTTTTGAGAAACACTCCAAACTGGAGTGCTAATGCTAAGCACCCTTTTAAGGTGAAGTTGGGGTTTCGAACCTGAGATTTAGTCATGGAAATTCAAACACTTTGAATTGTCAGACATAATTCGAAGCTTGTAAGATAATAAATGACATTGTTAATTTTTTAACACAAAACTTTTATTCAATTGATGATGATTATTATTATTATTACAGATTAATTCAAGTTAAGATATCAGTTTAAGGAAGGAAGAAGTATCGGACAACTCATTCTTCATAGAATAGTAATAATTTCCAGTAACAGATATATTCATCAATCAACCAGGAATTGAATCTACAGATTTCATGTAGGAGAATGACGTTGAGTCAGTTAGATCATTCATTGAGTTAGAATTCAATGATTAACATTAGTAAATTTTAATTAACCATTTATTCTAAGAAGTGTTTTTACACACACAGCTAAATGCCCATTCGTATGAAAAGCAATATAAACAAACTTTTCTCTGAATATGAAATCTTATTTCACTTCAGATAAGTTTGCTATAGTTGTGAAGAAAATACCATCCCTGATATTAGTAGACATGTTCATTTATGTTGCGTCTCTTTGCTAATGCGGCATAGCAACCTGAACTGATGTACGTACGTACGTACGATGTTCTACGTTGTGATTGACTGACTGACTATTTATGTTTGTGAATTTATGTATACTTTTCTTAAAATCTTCAATCATATTTATTGAATGAATAGACAGTGTCATTCAATCTGTATCTTCATATTATTATCATGTTTTTGTATGAGCTTGTGTATATTTGACCATAAATATTTCCCCTCACAAGCTTAGTTGCTTAAATCACTCGATGACTTGTTCACTTTCCTATTCGTTCGATCTGTTCATTCAATCACATTATTTCGTATTTATATAACTGTTCGTATTCGTTTCATGTAGTCAAGTCTTGGCGTTGTTTTCTAAAATTTGTACATTATTGGTAGTTATCTAATAACCGTCATCAGGATGATTGATACACAGTATTCTAATTTATGATTCAATGTAGGATCCATTGATCTACAGTATCGATCCAAAGTTGTGAAATCACATTAGTAATGATAAAAAGACACTGAGAACTCTATCTGATGAAGTTACATCTAAGATATAGCCTAATCATTGAAATTCTAAAACTTAAGTCTTTATTATTATTATAATCTTTTAAAGCAGTATACTGTATTCAACTTAACCAAAGGTCTATATACACTTACCTACAGATTGTCGATTGTTCTTTTCAACTTTTGTCTCTGACTTTGATGTTTGAGGTGTCGAAGCTGATGCTGTTGCTACTGGTGGCGGTGGTGTTTGATGTCTTGGTTTGTTTGCAGTCGTCGTCGGTTTACTCACTGAATGTGGTTCTTTTTGAGTAGGCGGTACCTTTTTAACAACAGCAGGAGCAGCGGCGGTGGCAGTAGTAGTAGTATTAGTAGTTGAAGGTGTTGTCCCTGTTGATGGCTTTGTCACTAATGATTGTGGATGTAGATTTATTGTTGATGATAAAGTGTCTCGATTTCTTCGAAAATAATATTCACTTGGTATTTTGAGTAGATCAATATAATCACTATCACACATTCCTTCACCAGTGATAGGATTTCGAAGAGCTAAAAAGTTAGAAAAAATAAATGTAGTTTTATAGTTTAAATTAAACAAAATTGAAATAATGAATATTATATTTCTCATTAAACAATTCATTTATACTGTTTATGTTATCTGTTGAAGTAAAGTATTTCATTGTATTTTCTCATTCATGATTTTATTGTGTCTATAATCTGTAGGTTATATTCAAAGTGAACTCATTTAAGTGAGTATAATATTTCGTTTGCTAGTAAAGTTGGTTAATGATTAGCTATATGGAAAAGTACATATATTTTTCATTCTATCTGAGACTAATCTGCTGGATGTTTATGGATCCAACTTTCGATATTCATAATGAGATTCAAACTCAGTATCATTTGTTTCAAACACTAGTGCATGTTATCGTTTTAGCTACTGAGTCCAAATAGTCATTAGTTTATTTGACGTGTAAGGATTTTTACTTTTACCAGCTGATATTAGAGAGTATGACTGATTGGTTATGCTATCAGGGATATGTACATCTTGCTGACAAACAGACAGAAAGATACAACACAGAACTTCGTACGTATGTACATCAGTTCAGGTCGTCATACCTCATTAGCACAGAGACACAACTCTCAGTTCAAATCCAATAGTGGTAGCGATAGTAGAAGTATTAGCAGTAATGGAGAAGATTTGGGTTCGTTCGAAGATATTATTCAAGAAGTATAATTCAGTAAGGTAAATTTAGAAAGAGGAAGATAGAGATGATGAGGAAATTAGAAGGTTGGAATTTGAGAGAACAGAAAGAGTGGATGCAGTTGCGCCATTGTAAACGATTCTGAGCCATGTCGTTCAAGGTCTCTAACCATTGGTGACTTTCATCTCGCGGACACCAACCATGTAGTCTACATCTACCAACATGACTCAGTCCACTTGTCAGTGAATTCATGGATTGCTGCCATGTTTTGGTCTGGCCGCCCCTAACTTTCTTTCAACCTACTTCTACACCACAAAACATAGCTCATCGAGGTAGTCGGTGTTTGGGCATTCGTAACACATGTCCCAACCACCTCAACTGATGAAGTTTTACTATTTCATCTATCGATTTACTATCCCTACCTAGTGCTCGTTTCCTAACGACAGCATTGCTTATACGGTTGTGCCAGGATACACGAACAATGCTTCGGAGACACCTATGATTGAAGATATCCTGCTGACTGGATTGATCTGATATTACCATTTAGTCGTAATTATTTCATAAAATTAGATACGGACTACTACTACTATAAGTAGTATATTCAAGAAAAGTACTTGGTTTTATTTGAGATTTATTAGCTGCATGTACCTCTGAGACTCCATAACATCAATAACGAAAACAAGAACAACAAATCCTTAAAAAAATATTCGACTTAATGTATTGAAATATTGAATCCTTAGTAATAAACCATTGATGATTCAACATTGTTTTTTTAATTTTCGTAAATGATATTTAATGAAATTTGTTGTAGTTATAAAATTGTTTAGATTTATTTTCAATTGAACACTACCAATAGTCAATCAATAGGTGTACTATTATATAACCAAAAATACTTAAATCAATAAAAACGTACCGTCTAATTTGTTATTTAGAAAAAAACAAATTGAAACTATGAAAATCTTTTCATAATTAATATTTCAAAAATATTGTCTGAATTGACGAAAAAAAGTACTTAATTCATACACTGTAATATATTTTTTAATCTAACTAATTTCATGGTTTTTAAGTGAAAAGAATATCAATAAATTTATTGATGTATGAATATTTTATTTCAGATTCTTTTTTAAAGGTATAATTTAACTACTAATAAGATGTTATCATGTGTCATTTTGAGCTTTTACTAGTATATGATCATAGATGTTTAAGAAGCATTGCTCGTATACCGTCGGACAACCGAGTAAGCAATGCTGTAGTTAGGAAACGAGCACTAGGTAGGGATAGTAAATCGATAGATGAAATAGTAAAACTTCATCAGTCGAGGTGGTTGGGACATGTGTTACGTATGCCTAACCACCGACTGCCTCGACAAGCTATGTTTTGTGGTGTAGGAGTAGGTTGGAAGAAAGCTAGGGACGGCCAGACCGAAACATGGCAAAAATCCATGAAGTCACTGACAAGTGGACTGAGTCATGTTGGTAGATGTAGACTACATGGTTGGTGTCCACGAGACGAAAGTCACCAATGGTTGGAGACCTTGAACGACATGGGTTAAAATCGTTTGCAATGGCGCAAATGCATCCATTCGTTGTGCTCTCTCAAATCCTAATCTTCTGGATTCGTCGGCACCTCTACCTTTATCTTTCTAACCTTATCTCACTGAATTATACTTCTTGAATAATTTCTTCGAACCCTACTCTTCTTCATTACCATTAATACCTCTACTATCTTTATCACTATTGGGTTTGATTTGACATTTGCGTCTCTGTGCTAATGTGGTATGGCAACCTGAACTGATGTACAATACGTACAAAGTTCTACGTTGCAACTGACTGACTTAGCTTTTAAATTTAGTCATTTATTTACTAAATGTACCCAGTTGATTGGAAAGTTATAAATCATTCACTGAAGAAGTTCCTCACAGCAGTGACATCAAATAAGGACAGTTGAAATAATTGGTATACAAAGAAAAAAACTCAATTGTGTTACAAAAGATACGAATTGTGGCTATAAAAATAGAATCCAAGTTTCATATTTTATTCTGGTTAGAACTCCTTAACTGGATTTATTTATATTCCAGTCTTGTTGATTACATTGGAACTCACTTCAATAGCATAATGTATAACCTATTGGATTACAGAACCCAGATAGTCACTAGCCCGTGTAGGGAATGTGGATCATTACGTAACCTCTCCTCTTGCTGTTGGAAATCTCACTTCACTTTGTGTTGTACTCTGTTCTTTGTATAGAGTTATATATATTTATCAAACGCCTATAAATATGAATGTACAGCTTTAAGTAAATGATTTCATCGAGAGGAAAACAGATCTCTTCGCTGGATTTTCTATATTCCATGAGATAATGACTTACTTCAATGACATGAAGTTTATTTACAGAGGTTTAATTTCCCCCATTGTTGTGATATGTCAACCAGACATGCCTGTGACTAACAATGGGTTATTTGAAGTGCTTACTTAAGGCATTTCTAGTAACTGAATGAATGTATTGCAGTTTTGATTTTAACATACATACATACCCCTTATTAATTTTCTATTCTCTGAAGATACAGGCACATTGCCTATAGTTGTTGTTAATTCATTGAAATCTCCACCAATTGTTGATGTATCATCATCGTTCAATCCAATTGACGATTGATCAGAAGATATAGTTTTCTGTTGATGTGTAATTGGATCGGCATTTGCTGAATTGATAAATTTAAAAATGTGGAAAATATTCATTTTTTATTTACGACAATTGTTATGATATTTTTACATGAGCTGTTGTTAATGCAGTAGTGTTAGGTAGCAGCAATAGAGAACAGGAAAAAAATTAGCTGAACCGTTCGTTGATGAACTGATAGCTTCGTATGAAATGCCCATGTTACAATCAGAAGATTTTTAAACCTTTTTTGTGACCATTCTACCTGGAACTGTACATTTTCTGTAATGAATGGTCACTTCTATGAAAATCCCATATGTTCAACTGTTTCCAACTTATGCTTATCTTCTAATTTCACTGTATTCCTTATAATCAGGACATTAGAAATCATTAGTGTACACTACCCCACCCACAGAGAATCGATCAACGTTGATAATTTGCCTAGAACCTCTTAAGCACAATACATACACATAAATTCAATAAGCACAGGTGTACCATAAGCCATTTATATGTTTCATTGGAACTAATCAATATAATCGTTTTCTGAGAAAGTCAGTGTTTAACATTCTAAGCTTATTTTTAATCAGTCAAGTATTAATAAAGTTCGTATTTCTTTGTTTCTTTTTTGACACAAATTAATCGTTATTTATCAGATAAGGATAAATTAATCAGAATTCAGAAAAAACAGCACCCATCTACTAGATAAAATACTGTTTTATTCTTATTTTCTCTGTCTGTGTCTATACCGTCCCGACCGTAGCTGCTACCTTGACGTAGTGGTCGGGCTTGCCTATCGTGATGACCCAGTCGAGCTATATTGACTGGAACATATGTTCCTGAAGGTTCTACCATGCCAGGCAGGTCGATTGGAGAACGGTGAGACTAAAAGCAGCTACTCAAGGTCTGAGGGCGAAGTCGTGCTGCTTACTGCAGAGGGGTGTGACAGCAGTAAGGTGTTTCCCTCGGACAACCAGCATGTGCAGCGATGCTGCCTTCTCACAAGGAAGGAAGGGTTAGAAAAGGTCGACCCTAAAAATGTCACACCTCACCCTACCTCACGGATTTCCGTCTCCATCGATAAGTGTGCCCACTAAGGGCTTTCAAGAGCGGAGCTAACACTCAAAAAACCCTTCATAAACAGGCCGTGAGTGACCGGCCTCAAGAAGTTTCCCTTGGACTCTGCGGTCACGCACCCAGGTCTCTAAGACCAATGCTAATATACCTTTCTTTTCAGGTTCCTCTAGAAACAAACTTCCACGGTGTGGGCAGCCGGGAAGTGACAATCGCCCTCATACCCGTAACAGCAGACGAGACCAAATTGGTCAAAATCAAATCCTTACCACACCCCGTAATACCTCTTGTGTCTATACCGTAAATTCATATCATTACAGTCAAGTTTAGTTTGTATAGACAAATCAATTTACCAATATATCACAAATTTATAAATTCATTTTATTTCATTTTTATTATCATGTGATATATATATTTATATATATCAAACTAATCGTTCAGTTTTTTGTTTTAATATTCAACATTACTAGCAATTGATCAATAAAACATTATTTGTTTGTCTGTTATATATTTAAATTTTTTATATTTTTTTAGTTAATTCATATTGTCTATTTTATGCATGACCTTAAAATAACTTGAACTTTTATTTCAAATATAGACTGACTGAAATGGTTAATGATATATATATATATATATGTTTTTTTAAAGAAAAACTATATTCAACTTGTTTTCTTTTTCTGACCGACTAATCAACGGATAAGTTAGATTGAATAGTTTACAATACGATTATGTCTTAGTTAAACAATCAATAAAAATTATGAGAAATTGTAAAGCTATTTGATTCTAGTATGGAACGCCTTAGTAGTGCACACCTACTACCCGATGAAGGATCGAAACTGAAAAAAACTTTTCACTACTATAGTGAGCGCTTCATCATCCAGAAGATACAAGTATTTAAGGACAGTTGTCTTCGTAAAATACTTCGGATTCGTTGGCCAGACACGATCAGCAACAACTTACTTTGGGAGAGAATAAACCAGATTCCAGTGGAGGAGGAAATCAGTAAGAAGCGGTGGAAGTGGATAGGACATACACTGCGAAAAGTACCCAACTGTGTCACAAGACAAGCCCTCAGATGGAACCCTCAATGTCAAAGAAAAGAGGGAAGGCCAAGGAACACATTACGCCGAGAAATAGAGAAACACATGAGAAGAATGAACAAAAGCTGGAAAGAAATAGAAAGGGAAGCCCAAGAAAGAGTTGGTTGGAGAAAACTGGTCGGTGGCCTATGCTCTATTGGGGGTAACATGCGTAAGTAAGTAAGTAAGTAAGTGAGCGCTTGGCCTTTAAGCATTAGGGTTAGGACTGATTGAAGTAGTGTGGTTGATGAGAACATTGGAACTTCTTCGATAGAGTTTGATTATCATTAGACCATTAGATGAACAATGGTTTGGTTTTTACTATATTCAAAGATTAATCAAGTCGAATGAAATGTCATAAATATGAATTTAAACTAAAAAAAGATACGTGAAAATTTTGTTGTCTAACCTACTAGTAATAAAGTATTATTATAAACAAAAATTAATGTGTCAAGTGTACATTCATGATTTGAATTTTGTAACATGTATATCAACATAATCACGATAAATTAGGTTAGAATGCAGAAAAATACACGTATAATGTTAACGGATTATATTTCTCTCTAATTATTAACCTTTGTCTTCGATAGAGTAACGATTTCTTTTCAATTTCACGTGTACATGATTTACGAGTTTGTGATTTCTAACACGTTACATGAACTAAAATGTAAACGTTTTTTTTTGACTAGAGTATCATAGTTGAGAGAAAATAAGATGTTTTTTTAAGAAAAAAACTTTTACATTTTATAGATGAATTTATAATAATACAGTCATTAGATTTACAATTGATCACTGAGACTAGTGAATATTTGTCAATCGGACACAGTTAGATAGTTATTGTGTAAACCAGAAAGCACTGGATAGTTGTTTCGTTCAAGTGTAACACTCTTCTGGAATGTTCATCCATGACTCTATTGGAGATCGAACTTGAAATCTTCAGGTTTTGTAAAGTGAGCATAATATCAAGATCACTAAGTAGGAATCTAATAATTTACATATCAAACTCGGGTTCGATCCCTAGAGGTGTCATATGTTCACACTTCTGAGACCCATACTAAAACGAAACAATTGTCCAGTGCTTCTTGGATTTTTAATGGCTATCTAACTTGGGTGGGTTCGATTGTCTAACAAACATTCAGAGATCCCTTCAAACCTGTCTATACACAATTAAGTGATCTGACATATCAGCAGTATTCTATATTTGTTATTGGATTGTTTAATTTTCTGTTAACAAATGAATCAGTGAATAAACGAAATGAGAATTAGAATAACATATGTAAGCAAACAATATTGTTTCACCAATTAGATCGTCATCAGGCTTTACTCTCTAATTTACATGAATATTTACGTGAAAATGTCAAATCAATCCTTCTAATTTCAGTCAATAATCACAATGAAATACATTAGGTCACTATACATAATAAGTGGAGAAGTATGAGTTGATGGTAGAAAGACAGGACCAGTGTTATCGTACTTTATTAGCCCTATTTACTATCGGTATACTACTACTATCAACTTGTACTTTTCCACCTATTATGTGTAGTGACTTAATCAATTTCATTGTGATTATTGACTCATCATTTGCCTTGATTTGTTTAACATTTTCATTAAATAAATATTCATGTATATTAGAGAGTAAAGTCTGATGAAGATCTAATTGGTAAAACAACATTGTTTGTTCACTTATATGTCTTGTTTTAATGTTCACAATGGGAATGTTTAATAAATTTAAAATCTGAGAATTCTTTTCTATTTATCTGTTTATTTACTCATTTCTTGCTTCTGTTTATACTTCCCCTAAAATTTAAAGTTGAAAGCTCGGTGATTTATTTCATAAATTAATTGCTTTTGAGAATCAGACTTTTTTAAAAATCTACCTATGACCAACTAGAATTTATAGAATATTATTTGAAAATAGATTATTTCTATGAAACAACTCATAATGCTTAACCAATCTCTTGTGGATTATTATTTTTTTTTTGAAACTACGTATTGATTTACCATCTGTTAAAATCGATATTTCTGTTCTCTTCGAGGTCACTTGTCTTTTTTTTTTAAAAAATTTTCATATTAACCAAAAAATAAATAATTGACTATTGAACATCTTTACAAATTCTTGAAATTTTGACAAACAAGCATAGTTGAAAATAATTTTACAAATAAGTTATGTATTTTTATTTATTCAGTGAGGTTGTGAGGGAGGATTTGTTAGATTATTTTCATTATAAATTAATATTAATGTCAAAGTGTTGTACATTTATGACTCTTTAGAAATATTTGTAGCTGTGATACATTATGATTCAACTGGGGATCTAAATGTTTCTTGGTAAATATAATTCAAAATCCTCACTTTATTTGGATACTCATGAAGTAACCAAATGATGTTTTCTATATTGTTGTGGTGCGCGCTACTTATAAGTAGTATTTGACGCGAGTGTAAACGTAATGTCTGGCAGCAGAAGATGGGGGAAGATCAAGAAAGGAAGGGTTAGAAAACAATGGAATTTGTATGAAACGCATGAATAGTGACAATGGATTGATGTTTTGCAACAGGAACAGTCCAGTTCGATATGATGAACTGATATTTTGCAAATTAACGATTTACCATATGGTTTTCCAATTTTACTGAGTAACTCTGTAATTTCATTAAGTACAATTCGGTTGCTCCACCTGTGTTCTCCTCCACTACATTGTGAGTTAACTAGAGTTAGAAAGTATGTGCTTCTGAATCACTTGATAGCTGATGAGTACACATTAAAATGAAAAGGGAGTTTAGTGCTCTCTAGTTTTCGTCGGTCCCCTAGATTATATTAATCTATAATGAAACCTAGTGCGGTGTACGCTACTTATGTTCACATGAGTAGTATATGATATCAAATGGAAATCAAACGTCTGACAGCAAAAGATCGAGAAGGACAGAATGAGAACAGAAGGCGATTTGTAGGTAACGTAAAGTGAACTGAAGTCTGAACAGTCTAAATGCAACAACACTGAAATCTGAAACAAATAAGGATTAGTTTGCAAATGATGATTCACAGGAAGGTTTTGTAAATATGCCCAACAACTCTGTAATATTCGCTGAAATATATTGTTGATGTCCTCACCCGGCTTTTCGTGCACAACACTAGTATTGAGCTACATTCTATCTGTTGTATGTAAATTTATATCATAGTGCCCATATACCAGCCAACACTAATCGAATTTTAGTCAAAATATTAACGCCAGGATAATCTAAATCATTTCAAATTGAATTAACTTTGAAAATATCTTGGAATTAGATTCTTTGGTCTTCTTTCCTAGATGACTCACCATACGTGGTAGCTAATTAGAACTGATCATCAATGACATTTATGTCTAAATAAACATAACAGAATTCATGTAATACTATTTCAGTAAACTGATAGAGTAAGTTATAGAATGATTTGACTAGTAGAGTATATATAATACTTAGTTAAACCATCGGTTAAATTATATGCCATTACATAGGAAGGGAATGAAAATCAACTTCATGAAATCATGAGTCAATCATTGGTTGGCCACCATTAGAAACCTAGAAGTACTGGACGGCCGTACTGTCCTAGTATGGGACTTATCAGCAGTATGCATCTACCACTCCTGCTACTCGCAGAATTCGAACCCGGGGATTTCTGTCTTGCGTGTGAACGCCTAACCTCTGGAACATTGGGCTGGCATCCGACGGTGCTAATCCTGAGGGTAGCAGGAGTCAAAGGTGTGCACTGCTGATAAGTTCTAATCCAGATCAGTACTGTCGTCCAGTGCTTCCAGGTTTCTAATGACAGTTTAACAATGATGGATTTATCATTTCACGGTAAAGCTACCATCTCCATAATACTTTAAATGAATAATTGAAATTGTTTAAATTCATACTACTCATAATGTGAAATAAGCATATTTTGTTATGTAACAGAAGTTTTGCAAAAAGCAAAAATAAAACCCAGAAAATGATTAATTGATGTAACTTAAATGTGAAATGAAGTTAGAAAAATTTATTTACACATATTTTTGACGCCATTAACTTTCTATGGCAAATGGTTTGTAAGTTGATTTGTTTTGTAAAATTCTTATTGTTTGGATTTCAATAATAATTGTTAATCATGTATTAGAGAATGCACCAAAAAGCAGTTTTAATTTTATTTAGCGTACGTAATTTAAAATCTTCTCCACTGAACATTAAAGTTTTAAACAACAAAAAAAACTGGTTAGCTAAGCAGCGCAGGTTTTTTAAGAGGTAAATTTAAAATGCTGAAATTGGCCTTTTAGTTAGCGCTTTTTCTGTGGTTGAATTTCTTAAACATACCTCTGAGGGTATTGGATCTAGATTTTTGGACAGTGCATGTCAACTGAGGACGATACTGTTGTCTATGATGATAATTCATAGATTGTCGACGAGTTACAGGAACATTATTATCTACATAAAACAGTAAATTATAGTGTAATGATTTGACATCAGTATTAATACTTGAAGGTTTGTCAGATGTGCGGTTTAAATGTATACTGAAATAGTAATGAAGGTGTCGAATGGAATTATGGTTAAGAATGGTCTGCTGTAGCTGATATTAGGCGATTAGCCATCAAGAGAATATATGTTTTCTCACATTTCATAGTAGATTTAGAATAGACACAACTGCTAGTTGATTCCGCTGCTGCATATACACTCTGATTAACTGCAATGGTTCAGTGATAACATTTCTGACTAGAATCAGATGGGGAGTTTGAGTTCAGGTCCAACAGGAGTGCGAGTTTAAACCAACTAGAAACTTACATCTATACAGTTTCTAGATTACTTCTGATACAATAATACCAGTTCGATTAGTTTAAATAATCTCAAGTTCCAGTGAATTTCAAACGACTGATTTTGCTTCAGGATGCAACATGTTTGATTGTAGGTGTTTGAAGACAATCGATATAATACTCAGAAATTATGGACGAGGCTAGTTAACAAGTTTTTGCAAGGTGTATCGATCATCTTGAAGAGCTTAAATTATTCCTTCTAGATGCAAGTGAATTCCATCAACTGTTATAGACAAAGGTTCTGATATTAAACTATTCACCTTACTGATAGATTTTATTTACTTTGAAATTCAATTGCATATCTTTCTATCGACTGATTTCAATCACTAGACATTGAAATATTTTCTTTCGATTCAGGGAAAATGACAAAGACTAAGTATTCTAATTATTGATATCATATTCTGATGTTATTTTAGTTGCCTAGAAATTTTCTTACCAATTATTATTAATTACAATTAATTTGTCATAAAGTATACATGTCACTATTTATACATTGATGAGACTATAAACGAAGAGAATGATAACACGAGCATTAAAAACAAGTTTCACTATAAAGAATTTTATACAATACGGAAAAATATTGACAATTCCTTTTTGAAGAAACAGTCAGTCAGTCAGTCAGATGCAACCTAGCACTTCGTACGTAAGTACATCAGTTCATGTCGCCATACCACATCAGCACAGAGATGTTATTGTCAATTCAAATCCAATAGTAGAAGAGGTAGTAAAGGTATTAGAAGTAATCGGAGAGGTTAGGATTAGAAGATATTATTCAAGAAGTATGATTCAGTGAGAAAAGTTTAGAAAGACAAAACTAGAGGTGTTGAATAATCCAGAAGATTAGGATTTGAGAGAACACAAAGAATAAATGCACCTGCGCCATTGCGAACGATTTTGAGCCATGTCATTCAAGGTCTCTAACCATCGATTATTATCATCTCGCGGACCCCAACCAGGTAGTCGACAATTACCGACATGGCTAAGTCCACTCGTCAAGGACTTCATGGATTTCTGCCATGTTTTGGTTTGGCCACCCCTAACATTCTTCCAACCTATTCCTAAACTACAAAACAAAGCTTGTCGAGGCAGTCGGTGGTTAGGCATACGCAGCACATGTCACAACCACCTCAACTGATGAAGTTTCACTACTTCATCTATTGATTTGCCATTCTTACCGAGTACCCCGTTTTCTAATAACAGCATTGCTTACTCGGTTGTCCCAGGATATAAGAGCAATGCTTCGATGACACCTATGATCGAAAACCAATAACCGACGAGTATCTTCTACTCTCACTGGCCATGTTTCACAGCCATAAAGTAAACAGCGAAGTACTAGACAGTACACTCGTCCTTTAGTCAGCAAACGGATATCTCGCCTACGCCAGGTTGGCAAAAGTTAATCGAGACTTCTCTATCCGTGCTGAGATTGTGTCAAATAGAGCAACAGGCTTCCTTAGCTAGGACTTTATAATCTCGTGTCATCCATGTATGCTGTGTCTCGGAAACGCGCATACAGGATCCTAGTAAAATTAAATAATCTGGTTTCACCTTGTCAAAATAAACAAGCAGCTCGATTTACTCTTTGAAGAAACAAAAATTGTCAATATTCGATAATGTAAATTAATACTTAAAAAAACATACTTTTATTATTTGGAAAATGTTTCATTCCTCGAACTTTATCTGCTTTATACGATATACTAGCTCTGTGCATGTAACCTATTGGATCACGTGTAGCTGAAATAATAATAAAAAGTTAGAAAAACAGTATACAAATAACGTTAATATTTGTTATTTACTAAATATAGACTGTGCTTTATGTAAATTCATTTAATTTTACAGAAAGATGTTACTTTTTTTTGAATATTTAGCAGGCAACAATTGATATCTGAGTTCTATAAAGAAAACAATCGATGATTGATAACTGGTGTGTTTATTTAGTTCGCAGTGTTGATCATAGATCGTAATGGAAGTACTGGTGAATGAGAAAAGTGAAGGAGTATATAGATTAAATCAACATTCTCCGTGAAGCCCAATATTGGTTAAGGAAAAGCAGGTCATGCGCATCTAATGATCTCATAGTATGCGACAGCTTGGCAGGGGTTTCACAGAGGACCATCTGAGGTCCATTCCTGTTTCTGGTATTTTATTAATGACTTGTGGCATTAATCTACGCAGATGATGCAAAGAAGTGAAGAGGATTAATTTGAGCCTCAAAATGATCGGGCAATAATATAGGAATGAGCAATGGTTAATACATTTAAATTCAGCCAGTCAAAATGTCATGCCATGAATATTCTATTCCATGCGACACAGACAACTTACATTCTCCATGGAAGTCAACCCGCCCCCAAATATCTCGGTCTAATAACCACAAGAAGTCTGGACACAACTTCACACTACATAAGGTATGCAACCTAGGCTAACGCATTTCTTCACCTTGTGCGAAAACAACTTGGTGCAATCACCCTGCAATCGTTACTGACTCTATTTAAAACATACTCACGGCCACACCTTGAAATTCACAATGTCATCGCACCCCTCTCCTTAAAAAAGACATAAATCTTTAGGAGCCAGTGCATTGACGAACAACTACTTGTGTGACAGGGTTAAAAAATAAATCTAACACTTGGGACTGTTCCCACTGGATTAGAGAAGAATCAGAGGTGATCTGATGATGGCGTGCAACATATTAAGTACACCGAATCATCACAACATAAGTATCTTACTGAAACATCACCAGTGGGCTTCTTGAGACGACCCTCGAAAAATTTCACAATAAAGAGCGAACACATAGGTTCCCGTCTACCTTTTCTCATTAACAGTTATCCCACCTTGTAATTCTCTTCCAACCGAAGTGACCATAGCCCTGTCAGTGGATAGCCTCACGAAGAGACTTGATAAACACGTACTCACGTATAGGTTATCATCTTTTAATTGGACCAGCTGTGCCTGATGCATGTCTCGAAACTTCCTAGTTGTCATCAATGTCATTTATTTAAATCCCTATCTTATGCTATCCCACTAGAGTCTCACATTCAGTGTAGATTATATATTTTTGTTGAAAATTACTATTGAATACAGGGTTTTACTGTCAACTGTAGTAGAAAGAGTTGATCAAGTGATGCAGTGTGTTGGAGTAAGGTTTTGCATAGTGTACATTTTTATGATTGGAGAATACATCTGATATCAAAAGATTTTTGGTTTTTAAAATATCCCTGGTCATAATCTCACATCAGTGTAAGTATTTCTTGTGAAGGAAGCCCTGCTGACAGTTTTCCAGTTTCAGAGGTGCTGTTTGTGAAATTGAGAGGACGACGAATGAATATCTGAACCTCAAACCTGGTTGGTTGAGTATAGAGTGGAGTTGGAAAATCTTGGTCCCTAATTAACGGTGCACATGCACATTAGGATGCTAAGTATACAAATAGCGTAGTAAACCATTGTTGGCCGCCGACTATCATGAGAACCCATCTCCTTACGTTACTACTCCATTGCCTTTTGGATTGGACATGTGCTTGCATTCTATCTCAATGTCAAACGTTAAATGAGAAATGATAAATTTGTACGTTATTGGTGGATGTTACAATTAGATATCTAGACAAGGTTTGGATTAGAAAGATAAATGCATATCTATCTATGATATACATACACCATTCAGTTTACCGATTGCAACTTCCTACCCATGGTGTTATTATTCTTTTCAGCTTGGGAAGCATGTGTATCTGTATCTGAATCTAAAGTCCGTGGAACATGACAGTGAACTGCTATAGTATTTTTCGAGGTTGGTTGGTATTAGAGACGATTCAGAGATTATAAATACTTGGAGTAATAAATTACTAAGTGTAACAGAGTTCATTCTTGATGAAAAGGGCTATTGTCCATAGTTCAGCATCTTGAATATCACAATACGAATATTCTATTGGACTGGTGACTTATTTATGTTTGTAATCGCTATGTATAATATACATTTAACAATTTATTGATAAAATATTTTCAAATATAAATCATTTTTTCATTATTTCACTTTTAATTACTTTGATATGGATTAGTTAACCTATTAATTAAATGTTGTACATTAAGAAAAACTTTCTGACTTTTCCAAAATCCAATGAACCAACTCAGTGTATGAACTACCAGTAGGCCATATTGTTTGATTGTATTATTTTGACTTTTCAACACCTGATAAACTTACTCCATTTTATCGAACAAACTGTTAATCAGTAGTGAATTCAATCCGGTCAAATTGTGATCAAAATATGTCCTGTTGTTGATGTAAGATCACTCGATAAAGCAATACAGTTTGCTCACTTTAGGTTTTGTATTTTAGATAATCGAGTAAATTTAGGACATTAACGTAGCGTGTACTCTGTTAATTGATGGGTCAGGTGATATATGAGACCAAGTGAAATCGATCATAACTTTTAATTGAAACTTAACTAGATTCAGTTAACTAAAAAGTAATATAGGATTATTAGTTTTTGTTACAAGGATTCTTTAGTATAGTAATATAGAGAAAAAAGTCAAACACATTTGGAAGATTTTGTTGAGAACAACCTCTGACTTTATCGATGATTTTTATTTAAGATTATTGTGAAAACAACTGTTAATATGTAAGTATAATTCAAACATATTGGTAGGTTAAAATACCATGGTTTATTTAAAATAACTTAGAATGTTATTTATTGAAAAGTTGTTTATGCACAACACTTTTTTGTAAGTGTATAAATATACTTGAAAAACTTGTGATTATTGTCAACCTTGACTTGGATACTGTCACAAACCCTCTGAAACTAGACTCAAACTATTCTAAGACATATTGTTTGTTAATCTAGGTATCAAATAATCATGGCAATAAATACTTGTTGATAGTGTTAAATTATAAGCGCTCGAAAACGATTCCAAAGACTTAGTATCGGAAATAATCTCAGCAGTCAATTAGTCATTTCATAATCGAGGATTTATTAATAAAGCGTCCATTTAGAATTCAAAATAGTGTTTTGTTTTAAATTAAAAACCTTACCCCATGCTTCTTTATAATGTCGAACTGACTGAGATCGAACCAGTTTTGTTTCTGGCAGTGAATGAGTTATTGGATCTGTTGCAACTATGAGCAAAAAAAGAATAAAATTGTCAATCATTTGTGAAAATCTAGGGAATTTTAGTAAATGATAGGATTTTCCTGGATGAATACTGATTAAACTAATGATTTAAAGTCTATCCTAATCGGGATAGAAGTGAAGTATATATAATGTTCGAATAAATGAAAATTATCGAAAGCAATCAACATTAATTTTGAAGATAAAATCGTACTACTCTTTGATTAGTGAGTAGCATAGTATAAATACAAACATTTTTGCTACAAGGTAGATTGTTTCAATGATGAAGAATTTATATCATTTCAGTTGACCGACCTTTTCTAAAATCATATGTGGTTTTCGAACTTCTGTTTTATGGATGCTATATCTATGCTTAAATTTTGGTCTCTTGTATTATCACTTCATATTTCTTTGAGAAGACTGAATAATTGACTGACTAAATATTGTCTAGAAACAAATATTACACTAAATTATCGAAATTCGTACAATGCTTATAAAAGTAAATAGACCAAACCACCAATATTAAAATGAAATAAGAAAAAGAATGAACAAAATCGGTATTAAAGATTATTTGACATTATTTCAGGTCAAATTCTCATCACAGCTTCTCATCACAGAAGTCTAGAGAATACTGAACAGTTATCTTATTCTCTTTCGTTGCCTCTTTGCAGTATGTACCAACAAATTCACATATGCTGAAATCCATGATGTGTTCTAATCTCAGTCAGATCAAAATAATTAGTCAGGATATATATATATATATATATATATATATATATATATATATATACCGATACAGTTAAGTGTTCGATTCTCAACAAATTTTTCAACTTATGGGTTTCAATAAAGGAAGCAGCACAGTTTCAAGAGAATTAAATACGTAATCATTTGTCTTGTGGTTTCTTTTTAGCTGCTTTACTTATGTTGAGTATTTGAAAGAAGAGGATTCATATACTACTGGGAAGTTTCACAGAAATTTTGGGCCTAATATATACAAGACTCAAAGGGCATCAGTATTTGAACATGGCCGTATGACAATTGCATACAGAAGTGTGTTATGTCCTAACACTGGCCGATACACGGATGACCTTTAAACAGTTAACACGCAACAAGGAGGAGAGAACTGATATTCTATGCTTGACTGTCAGCTAAATTCTGACAAAACCTGAATGCAGAAGAAAGACACAAGACAAATGATCACCAGTTCAAGATTCGGGATCCAAGATCGCTATTATTTTCAGACATACATAACCAGACTACACCATACCAATAAATAGAAACTAACAATTATACTTGAATGAATCAAAAGTGACTGTAAGGGAGGGAGACGGTAAATAGTAAACTGACAACAAAGTAGTTTTTTTGAAGGCTTTGTTTGTGAAAATCCCTCCATGGATACATTTGTAATTTGTTCTTATTGATTCCTTCAGTTGTACATTTTGTTAGTCTGTTCGATTCCATTTTTGAGATGATAATATTTGTATTTTATTATAGTTTTTATTTCTTTTGCCTTTACTAGGTTTCTGAACTGCATTTATGTAGTTTAAGCTGATACTTAGTCACGGCGACAGCCATTTTCATTTGTTCCTCTTTTAATTGAGTTGCTTGCTTTTACTCGAATTGTGCATTTTGATTGTGAATTGAAGCACTTTTCCAGAACTGGAAACACTGTGTTATAAAGCAACCAAATATTATCTGTCAAACGAATCTGATCTGTTCAGGATGGATAGAATATCAGTTATCTGTTGCTGTTGATTTGATTAACAGAATAATTGTTCGTGGAATAACTGAGTGGTAATATTGTTTAGGTAATGATGTATATTTATATTTATGATGAATATTAGAACCGTTATTTACCCAAATCACTTGTTTTGATTTCAATCCACACTTGCCTTTGGATCCTACACTAGTAGTAGTAGTAGTAAATCTCATGATGATAGTTTATGGAAAGCTTGCGACAGAGGAATTATATAGACCTAGTAATTTACTTAACTATTAATTATACAATAAAACTATTTAGAGTAATAATCCATAAACTGATTTTCAAACTTAACGATTACTTTAATCTTCGTTCTGATGCAGGAATCTTTTGACCTTATTCATTTTTGATAATTTCAATTGAGGTAAATTGATTTCAACTCATGAAATTGTTATAAGCATAATTTATACCTCATAATAGTGTAACTTATGCAAGAATTCTAGTAAAGTCAGACAAAATAATGGAATCGAAAGGTTAAAGATGAAAGTCAATAATGAGGCTTATTCATGATCAGAAAAAATGACTAAAAAATCGACCTTGTACGACAAGTTTAAGGTCAATAACAACTATGCAAGATCGAGGTCAACAGGACAAAGTTACGAGTCATGTATGAAGAAATTCGACTACTTCACTTCTGCCCGAAGTTTATGCTGATCATGTTGTTCAGAAGAAGAACAATGAAAGCTACACAACCAAAACATCCAGGTCAGAGAATGAAACGCCAGCACAATCATTCACCTGAGCTACAAATCTTCTTCACCATCTCAAAGGGAAAATAGAGAAAGTTGAGAAGGGCAGGAAGTTTCTGGAAGTATGGACTGCATGGAATGAATTAAACTAATTTTCTTTTACCACAAAAATAAAGTTCAATAGTTCAGTAGAGAATAAGTTTAGGTAAGAGGTAAAGGTCAAGCGACAAAACAAAATGTTACTCAGCATTTTTATATTTTTACATTTTTAGCCTTTTAATCAATTTTTTACAGATGTAAATTTCCATTTAATTCATACAAATAAATATTTAGCTTTGTAAATAATTCAATTGAATACATACTACTATACTTGTTATTTTCAATTTAATTTGAAACTTGACTGGTCGGCGGCCTATGCTCCATTGGGGGTAACAGGCGTAAGTAAGTAAGTAAGTTGTTTAACTGGTTTCTTTTTTTAAAATTCAAAGTTTATATCAACAACTTACGATAAGAATATCGTTTTGTATTCTCTTCGTTACATTGTCTTCCATTGTATTGACTGATTGAATGATTTTCCGCATCATTTTCACAACATCGACCACTGATAGAATCTGATCTTGCTGAGAGAAAAAAAATTCGCTCCATAGAATTCAATTTTCAATTACAATTATTCAGATGTCAAATAAACCGATATATATATGTTTGTATGATATTCGAAGCAGTCCATTAGGAAACTGTAGACCTAGGCTTCCTATTTACTAGGTCTTGTTAGTAAGCTCATGTGAGCAGCGGTGTTCTACTACATGGTGTTTGAAGTTGATGCACGTTGCAACAATCATCCGAAACATTTACTAATCATAACTTTAAAAATCATAGTTTATTCAGACAAAATTCAACTACATGCAAAATAAAGTTATCAGAATTTTTAAAAATCTTAAATTATTTTGTCACAAAAATGTAATTATAATGTTTGAATTCATCTTACATCAAATGTACTTATTTATGATAAGTAAAATAAATTGATTTCATAATAAAGTATAATATTGTGTATATATAGATTTTCTCTTGGCAAATAATCTTTATTTTTATTAGTTTAAACTAATTTCAACAGTAACTTTTTATGATTTAATCTGATGATAAATTTATGTAAATTCATCGGCAATTGGGTAGGGTAATTTTACATTGTGTTAACATGTGTTAACACTACAACGTGAACAGTATAGTTCAATTATGTGATGCAACCACACAGGTAACTGATACCCTGGTGGACGAATAGTGATAATTGGAAGTATTAATTCTTTGTGTCTAAATGTTCTTGGAAGTCTACTTCAGGACACTACAGATTGTTCTTAAACGTTATAAACGATCGAACTTTTCTATGATAATCAACAGTGAACTGGTGTATATTCAGCTGTCAGATTTCATAAAATGTATTATTAGTAACTTGAAAATTGTGGTAAACTGTTTCAGTTGACTATACTATTCAGAAAGTTTAATGAATAAAGTAGTTTATGATGATTGGTATTTGTAAAAGTAAATAGTCACGATTTGTTTAAGCTACCATGATGCGATGAAACCAAACCTATGTATGCACCATTATGTTACTTATATAAGTTAGTAATATATATTTATGTGTAAAATATGTTTGTAAAATGATGTTGGAAACTATGAACTTACAAACATGATCAATTCTATTTCTTGGCCTACCACCATGTGGTCTAAACATATCTACTTCTTCGCCTAAATCTCCTTGAAGTGTAATTGGATCACGGTCTATGAAGTGGGCAATGAAAGGAGAATGTAAATGGAGTGTTATTAGAAAAAAAGTAAATAATGAATTTTTTCATTTTAGGGTTATGAAGATTGTTGTTCTTATTACTGAAATCATGATTCAATCATTGTTAGACCAACATTAGAAACCTGGAGGCACAGGACTGCAGTTTTGTCCTGATATGATCCTCATCAGCAGTGCGCACCCACAACTATCGCTAATCACAGGAATCGAACCTGAGTCCTTCAGTCTTGTGTGCGAAAGCCTAGCCGCTGGACAACTGGGTCGGAACTCTTTGATGTTAATGTCTAACTCTGATCGATCTGATGATTTTGCGCGACCCCACCCATTTGTCTCCTGTAGTTACTGTCTACACACGACAGGGTTAAGCTCCACTGATCAGGTCTTCTCACTAGAAATCCAAGAATTTCCTCACGAAGCTAGTCACTAGTGAGCAAATTACACGATTTTTCATTATAGAGTTATGGAGATTGTTGTTTGTTAACGAAATCATGAATCAACCAGTGTTAGACCACCATTAGAAACCTGGAAGCACTGGACGGCCGTGAGGTTGCTCAAAACCTTAGATTGGTCAGAGTTAGACATTAGCAGTGTTGGATATCGGCTCAGTGATCCTGTGATTAGCGATAGTTTTGGGTGCGCACTGCTGATGCGTCCCATACCAGGTGCAAACGGCAGTCCAGTGCTTCCTGGTTTCTAATAGTGTTCTAATAATGACTGTTTCATAATTTCAGTAATAAAAATTTATGAATGTATGCTATAGAGTGGATCAACTAAACTGTTCAGTTGATTTCTAATATCCCACTAATATTGTATTTTTAAAAAAAATATTCAGAAGGAAAAATAATTAGGTAGAAGATATATGAACAAGTAAGTGCCCTGATATCAACAGTTTTATCTATATGCCAACATTTACTAAGTTAAATACCAATGTGATTTCCTGTTTTATCTTACACGATTACTATATGATTTTGTCGGTTGTGTAATCAGATTCCTCCAACTTTGTTTTCACATTCCATACAGTGAGTGGTTAGCTAAGTTGTTAACTGATAATAATATGTTAGAAAAGCTTCGATAATTTGAATGTAAATTTCTGTTTCACTTCAATGTTAATGGTTTTAAAATGCGTGGCGGTGTAAACTGTTGTGCATTAATTTTTCAAAAGCCTAGTTAGACAATGGACAGACATTAGTGATTATGAATCGGGATTATAAAGTATGCGCTGTAAAGGGTGAATACATTAAGATAAAATAAATCATATTTGTTAAACTCTGAGAGATTGGAATTAAAATAAATCCCAAGTTCCCTTCCGTAGTATGGTCCAAGGTCGTTGAAAGGGAATAGTTAAACATTAACATGTTAAATCAAAAACAGGCATCAATCAAATAAATCATGTTAATTTTCTGCATTTATTCAACGATCAATGTTATGGCGGGTAGTCAATAGTTTGAGTGTAATTTTTTAAAAGTTAAATGATGATTATCTGTGCGTTCGGTAGAGAGGTTAGTATAGTTTAAAGACAGCTCTTTTAACTAAATGAAAAGTTAACAAAGCCATTTCTCGGAAATTGTGGCACCTCACATAAAGCTGCGATTACAGTCTTCAAGATTTGGGTTACGTTACACATAATAATGATACTAGACTGGAATCAACTGATCCATTTTTGAAACATTATTTCATTCATGATATGATACGATTATCGTCCAGTGATAGTTCACTGTCAAAAACCATCTTGAAACAATACAGATCTCCATAAAGCAGCTAAATACATAAATGATTGTACGTTAATTCGTTAATGGTTCTAATTCAGTCAACAAATCAACTTGAAAATAACACACTGTATGATAATATCGCTTAGAGATTAGACTAAAGTATAGAATCGTACAATAAATATAAGGGCACACAGTTATTTCTGAAATTATATTGAATTTCTTCAATGCATGAATTATTTTCGCGGTTAATGCGAACAGATATTGTGTTCAACTAAATTGAAAACATGCACCAACCAAATCACTCTTGATGGAGATGTGCTGGAGGACGTTAACACCTTTACATATCTTGACAGCAACATCGGCAATCATGGTGGATCCGATGCAGATGTAAGGGCACGGATTGGCAAAGCAAGGGCTGCATTCATAAAATTGATATATCTCTGGAACTCCAAACAACATTCAACCAAAACCAAAATCAGGATTTTCAATACAGTTCTACTGTATGGAGTGGAAACTTGGAGAACTAAGAAAGCCATTATCCAGAAGATACGAGTGTTAATGAACAGTTGTCTACGCAAAATACTTCGGATTCGTTGGCCAGACACTATCAGCAACAACTTACTGTGGGAGAGAACAAACGAGATTCCAGTGTAGGAGGAGATCAGGAAGAAGCGGTGGAAGTGGATAGGACAAACACTGTGGAAAGCACCTAACTGCGTCAAAAGACAAGCCCTCAATAGGGACCCTCAAGGTGAAAGGAATAGAGGAAAGCCAAGGAACACATTACGCCGAGAAATAGAAAAAGACATGAGAAGAATGAACAAACATTGGACAGAAGTGGAAAGGGAAGCCCAGGACAGAGTTGGTTGGAGAAAACTGGTGGTCAGCCTTTGCTCCATTGGGGGTAACAGGCGTAAGTAAGTAATTAAGTAAGTAAGTAAGTATGAGTTATTTTCAAGGTTTTACTTGATATACAGTTTTTCTCTTTCAACAATATATATATATATATATATATATATATATATATATATATGGTTCATAATGTTGCATAGGTATTCATATTACCTTGAGTGTAATCTTCATGAGTGTTAATATGAGTATTATTATCATTATTATGATTATTATCATTATCATTATTATGATTATGATAATTGTGTTTATTTTCACTTTTCTTATTCAAATTATCCACACAAAAGTATCCATTTGAATAGTTTGTATCTGTAGTATCTAAAAAAACGTATGATTATTATAATATTTATATCAAGGATAAATAAGACATCAAAACTGCGGAATATTTATGTTACACATTTTTGAAACCATGAATCGATCAATGTTAGACCACCGTTAGAAACCTGGAAGCAATGGACGGCCGCTTCGTCCTGGTATGGGACTCTTCAGCAGTACGCATCCACGACTCCTGCACTCCGTCCCATACCAGGACGAAACGGCCGTCCATTGCTTCCAGGTTTCTAATGGTGGTCTAACATTGATCGATTCATGGTTTCAAAAATGTGTAACTTAACAATCTTCACAACCCCTGTAATGCGAATATTTATGTGTAAATACATATGTAGATAAAGAATGAATGTATTGATTATAACGGTTGCAAACGGTTTAAATGTCATTAGGATGTGAACGTCTGCGGTTAGGGGTTAATGTTGGTTTTATGCACTAACTTTCATTGGTTATGAAGAGTTTGTGTATACTAAATACAGTGTGGTTTTAGTCAATATTAAGAAATTTTAATAAGTACCAAGTAAATTGTTTTCTTTTTTCTTGTTATTTTATATTTGAAATTGAAAATTTAAAAATGACATACAAAAAGTATTTGCGTATTGTAATTGAAACATGAGAATGTTAGAAAAGAAGCCTTTGTTAGTAATCATGAATGCATTGATGTTCTTTATGTAAATGACCTTTCTTAGTACTGACATGTTTACACGAATTGTTCAAGATTCAATAGTCAATTGCTTGTTGACTTCCAATTGATCAAAACGGTAATATGATTAAATAATGCGCTACTCTTTAATCTATCTATTGAACATTCTATTTGTTTTAATTGATACTCATAAATCAATTAAATTATTATTATTATCACTAGTTAAATACAGAGTATATATTATAAAAGTTATCATCAATATTGTTTTATTGATTACAAATTCCCTGAAAAATTGACCTAATTCATTGAATGTAACAACCACGATACAATCAAATATTCATCAATATATACATATGAAAGTAAATAATAATAAAATGTTTGCGTTTGAACTCACTAACACGATCTTTGCATGTGAGTTCTTTAGTAGTATACAAACAATTGTATTCACTACCCAAATCACCTTCCATTCTAATTGGATCACGATGAGGAAAATCTGTATGAATAAATTCAAGAAAGATATGTAGATAATGTGGATCTTGAAAGTGGATGTTGTAAATAAGTTATATTATACTTAGGTATTTTTCTAAAAAAAAGCCTGAATGGGTTTGACAATTGATCATTTGCTTTAAGGGGTTGTGAAGATTGTTAAGTTACACATTTGTGGATGCGCACTGTTGATGAGTCCCATGTCAGGACGAAACGGCCGTCCAGAGCTTCCAGGTATCTAATGGTGGTCTAACATTGATCGATTCATGGTTTCGAAATTGATCATTTAATAAATTAACATTACAGCTTAAATTATTGAATGTTCAGTACCAGTTTTCGGTGTTCCTTTTAGAACCTTGTTACTGAGGCGTGAATTTATACACTGAGGTTCTTGACAAATTGATCTTTTTTTGGACTTTTATAAATGTGCCAGTTTCATTGTTATCGTTGATTAGATAAACTTTTAAAGTAAGTTTCATCATCTGAAAGTTAATTTAGTCTTATCAAAGAAAATTTGGCTGTAAGTCATATTATTACAAACAATCGTTTACAAATGTTCTATTTACATGATTTATAATGATTTTTCAGTAAAGTTTCTTTAATATTTGATGTAAAATGTTTTGATGAAATCAGTTCAAAAAGTGTTTCTCATAAGTTTCGATTGAAAAGCAGTGAAATGTAAATAAGTTTTGAAAGAATTTGGTAATTTCATTACTGAACGAGAATCGTGATTTAAGCATAATCACACTAGTAAGTTTTTTCGATTGAAGTATATTCAGTGTTTATTGTATAGGTGATTGAAAGAACAGTATGATTTAATTTAGGGTATACATAATATCAAGTTACTTGTATTAGTGGCCGTATTGCAACTTGATTGAAAGATTTCTGTTAACATTAAAGAACTTGACGAACATGGCATTAGTAACTAATCAGTGATCGGTTTTATTCCACACATTGACCTAATTTACTATCCAATGTACTATGGATTGATAAATTAACTATGTGTGGACAGATGTTATTCATTAAAAAACAAAACGGGATGAGTGGAGTAAAGTCAACATAAGTCTGACAATTTAGTCGTATGTAGCATAACCTCTAACAGTGAGCATGAATCAGTCTTGTATTTACCTAAAAGCAGGTTTCTGACGACACAACTAAAGTAAAATTAGGGTGAAGTTGGATTTCCTGCTTCAAAATCTGGGCTAGGTTTTGAGTTGAGATCACCACCGACTTTTCACAGTTTGGTTTGTTGTAATATGTTAATCATAATTCCGCTAATCTGAAACTGTGAATGGTGCCTTTCAAATAAATAAGAACTGAAGTTTTTGTGGAATCTAATCTAGGCCAGAATCTTCTTTTAATAGTGTGGACTGTAAATAAACAATTTCTTTCAGCAGCTGCAATAAAAAAAACCTTCAATGCAGCTAATCTGAGGCTTATCACAGCAACTCAATCGATCTCAGTTACCCCAATGAAGTCTCCAAGACCGATTCAATCCAAATCCCACTGTATTCACCAATTCACATGTAACTGCGGAGAAAGTTACTTAGGGGAGACAGATCGCCGATTGGAAGACAGGATAGGGGAACATATTCCAAAATGGTTAATCAAATCCATGATTCACCCACCTAGCCCCTCATCTCAAAATCGATCAAGAAACCCAGTCTCGTCCATTGCAAAACATCTAATGATGAGTGGTCATCAAATTGACCCAAAATCAGCCTCTAGAGTTGTGACATGTAATCAAAACCCACACACACTGAAACTACTTGAAGCTATCTTGATTGGTCGGAAAAGTCCAACTGTATGTGTTCAAAAACAACTGTATGTTGACCTTTGTTTACCATGGTTCTAGTGAGTGAATGTCATGCTAAATAAGAAATTTTGACCTTATCTTCAAAACTGAATTTACACAAATAACATGTTGCTTGTATGTGACTGACGAGAAAGCACGAAATGGTACTATCTCACAAAATATGTCTTCTTATTTCTCTATTCAAATTCTTTCAAAGTGTTATCAGAAAATGTAACGTTAAACTATCATGTGATTACAGTGTGTAATGTAAGCTATATTTGTACTGAGCTTAAATCGTTGTTTCCTGTAAATAAACAAAATATTATACTTTATTTAAAATTTCAAAAAAAAAATTAGTTTGAAAAGTGTATATTATCATTTTTAAATATTTTTAATATGATAATATTCTTTTCAAATCAGGATTATTACAAAAGTATGACGTTTGAACTTTAATGTTTGTCGTTGCTTAGAAACATGTTAACATTGTTTTAGAGAATGATTTTCTCTCTCTCTCGCTCTCTAAGAAGAATATTAGTACATAATATCTGGTACCGCTGTAATAAGTTGAAAAAAAAGCAGTGAGAATATAATTGAAACGGTATTCGAGTAAAACAACTCTGAAGAAATTTCCAAGACTTTGGAAAGAATATTTTAAAACTTCTATACCATTATTTGGTCAGGGTTAATAACATCAATCTAGTGTACATTGTTTGTAGTAAGAATATGACATTACCAAACTTAGAACAAAATTAATATGTAGAGCAGTATTAATTGGAAATTGTTGATCAGTGTATGTGTATGTTTAGACCTTTTTAGTGTCGATTAAATTCTGCCGATAATGTTGTAATGTGGTTACTAGACTAAATGACTTTGTATCACGTGCACGATGTTGAGTTGTGAAGTGGTTGTTGAAGGTAGTCAACAAGAGACCATGAACACAGGTCTTATGCTGTTTGTCATTCGTCATTAAGGTATATCTGTATTCCTCAGTTGATTTGATCATGTATCAGCTTAACTTTAAAATTAGAGTAGTATTACCAGATAGTATTATTCATCATAACTACTCCTGCAACCCTTCTAAGGTAAATGTCGGTTTCAAGCCCGGCTAAAGGATGGATAGGCATCAGTTTAACGACCTCATCTCTTAGAAAACCAAACTTGCTAAGACCAGGCTAAAAGAAACAGATAATTTACACCATTTAAACTGCCATGGCAGTTGGAAAGTCTTCATTTAGAAGAGTTATCACACCTTATGGTGAAAGCCGAGTTACTTCGGAGGTCCTGAAGCCAGTACCACCCCCCACGATCAGAGCAACAGTTAATCTAGGTACGTGGAATGAGACCGGGAGAACCATTCAGTGAAAAGATATAACCTGGTGGTGATTGGAATAAGCGAAACACATTGGACGCGAGTTAGACGAAAACGGTTGTCTTCAGGAGATGCTGTTGTACTCCGATCATGATTTGACTAGTTGCATTGATGCTATCCAAAGAAGCCGAAAAAGCGCTCATAAGATGGGAATCTCGTAGACACGGGATCGTCAAAACTTCTTTCAAAGCAAATAAAGAGTGGATTACAATGAATATCATTCATTGTTATGCGTCTATCAACGATAACAATGAGGACTTTAAGGATCAATGCTATGGCAGGCTGCAGTCAATTATCGACAGATGTTTATCAAAGGATTTGACGATTCGAATGCGAGAACTGGATACCAAGGTTAGCATGGACAAAACTGGCTATTAAGACGTGGACTAGAAGAAAGGAACGAAAAAGATGAGAGATTCACAAACCTGTGTGCCTTCAACAAACTGGTAATATGCGGTACCCTATTCCCACACTAACGCTTAAACAAAGCTACATTGGTTTCAATGAATCACATTACACAGAACCAAACCGGTCACATATGAATCAATAAAAATTCAGCAGGACCATGAAAGTCATGAGAACAAGGAGGGTAGCTGAAGATCATCACTTTCTATTGGCCAAGATGAAACTAAAACCTAAGATGCATTGGACAGCTGGTCAAACAGCTTCATAATAGTTTAACACGGCATTTCTTGTGGATGCTGCCGAACTTAATGAATTCAAGATGGCTCTCAAAATTAAGTTCCGTTTTTTTCACGATCCACTTGGATGAAGAGGAAACTACTATTGATAATAGATCAAAGAAGCGATAGTTTCAGAATTGCATGGGCTTTCGGGCCACAAGAAGCACCATCACAAGGAATGGATCTCGGTTAATACTCTGGATAAGATACAAGAAAGGAGGAATAAGAAGGCAGCAACCAATATCAAAGGAACAAGAGCAGAGAAAGTCACAGAGGGAATATAGAAAAGCGAACAAGAAAATGAAGAGGAGCATCAGAGATGACAAAGGCAAGTGTATAGAAGGTCTAGCAATGGTAGCAGAAAAAGCTGCATGATGAGGAAATGTAAGACAACAATGAGATACAGCGAAGTTGTTTGCTGGAAAACATCGTGGATCAGAACGACCAGTGAAGAACAAGGAAGGCAAAGCAATCAGCAGCATTGAAGAAGAGCGAAACAGGTGTGTGGAGCACTTCGAAGAACTCATGAATTAACCAGTCGCACTGAATCCACCCTCATCGATGCAGCACCCATGCACATACTAATCGATTTTGACCTACCAGCGATTGAAGAGATCAACATGGCCACCAGACAAATCAGTAACGATAAAACTGAACGAATAGACAATATTTCATCGAAGGCGTTGAAAGCAGACGAAATAGTAACTGCAAAAGATGTTCCACGCTCTCTTCAGCAAGATTTGCGAGGAAGGACAAGTACCAACAGATTAGAAACTAAGCACTACATCAAGATACCAACAAAGCAGATTTCAGCATGTGTGAGAACAACAGTGGCATCACTTTACTTTCAATACCAACAAAAGAGATTCAGTAGACACTCGTCTGTGCGATCAACAGGCTTGATTCTTTAAAGATTAATCGTGTACCGACCAAATCAAGACAGTACGTATCATTGTGGAACAATCAACTGAATGGAATTCACCACTATAGACCAACTTCCTTGATTACGTGAAAGCATTTGATTGTGTGAACAGTATGACACTATGGGGGTCTTTACGACCCTACGGTATGTCTGAGAAAATAGTCGACATCATACGGAATCCTCATTATTGACTAAACTGCAAAATCATGGATGGAGGACAGCTCACAAACTCGTTCGAGGTGAAGACCGATGTCAGGTGAGGTTGCTTACTCTCACCCTTTCTCTTTGTCCTGGAGATAGACTGGATTATGACGATGTCAACATCTGGCTGGAAGCATGGTATGCAGTAGACAGTCAGGATACATCTGGACGATATGGACTTCTCAGATGGTCCAGCTCTTCTGTCGCATACACAACAACAAATGCAAGATAAGGCAACTGGTGTAGTAGCAGCATCTTCAGCAGTGGATTTCAAAATTCACGATGGAAAAAGCGAGATCCTTCAACACAACACATCATGCACCAACCAAATCTCACTTGATGGAGAAGCTTTGGAGGATGTAGAAACCTTTACATACCTCGACAGCATCAGTGATCGACAAAGGGGATCTGATGCAGACGTAAAGACAAGGATCTTCAAAGTAAGAAAGATATTTCTGCAATTGGAGAGCATCTGAAACCTAAAACAACTGTCGGTCAACTAACACCGAAGTCACAATTTTCAATACAAACGTCAAGACAGTTATTCGATCTTATGGAGCTGGAAGTTGGAGAATTATAAACACCATTTTCTACTAGATACAAGCGTTTATTAACAGTTGTCTACTCAGAAGACTGGGGATTTGTTGGCCAGGCACCATCAGCATCAACCTACTATGGGAGAGAACGAACCAGATTCCAGCTTAGGAAGAAATCAGGAAGAAGCGCTGGAAGTGAATAGGATAAAGATTGAGGAAACATCCCAACTGAGTCATAAGGCAATTCTTAACTTGGAATCCCCAAACGGAAAGGAAAAGTGTTAGAGTGCAGAACACACTGCACCAAGAATTGGAGACAGATATGAAAAGAATGAATAGCAATCGGAAGGGACTGGAAAAAAGAGCCTAGGACAGAGTTAGATTGAGAGTGCTGGTCTAGGCTCAATTAGGGGTGACATGCATAAGTACGTTAGTAAGTGTTACACGTCACATCAAATAACTTCATTTTTTGTATGAATCCTATTAACTCAGATGTAGATATTTTTAACCAGAAGTTGAAATAAACATAACTTCTGTTCTAAATTTGTGCATCAAAACAGTTTAAATGTTTTATCTGTGTTTACAACCAAAATCAAATCAAAGCATCCTTAAGGATTAAAACAAACATGTAAACTATTTAACACTTTGAAGATAGTCAGTATTAGAGTTGTGGGGATTGTTGAATTGTATTGAATCACCAATGCAAGTAAATACATAGATAAATACGACGAATTTAAACTGATGTGGCTATTTTAAAAATCGTCAAACTTACGCCTTCTGCGTAAATGACACCCGTTAAGAGGATTCCATTCAGCTTCTAGGTCGCCTAAACCAGCGACAGGATCACGAGTTATCACTTGATAGTAGAGAAAATAACAGTGGAAACAATATAATTTAGGCTGAGAAAATTAAACTACCAGTTGATGTGATAAAGAGAGATTGTCATGAACAGCAATATTTACATTAAGTTGACTGAAAATTTTTTGGTATAAATTAGGCATACTACCCCTAACTCAGATCTCGAATGGTCGAAAAATGAAAATTTCGCTATTGCGAAAAAATCATTACTTGACATTACACAAAGAGTAATAAGTGTTGGAGCCCATTTATATCAAGCTGGGATGCATCTCTTGCTATTTTATGCCATACTATGTGTGTACTATGTACTAGACTGCTATATAAAGCTGAAGGTTTCCTATGGGAAGAGAGGTTCGCTGTGAACATTGTGAATGGCTTGGCCTTGTTTTGGCAAGTGTTGCTAACAGTCCATATACAAAATTGGTTAGCAGGGTGACCGATTTCACTGATACTGGTGGTTGTTTTGCAACATTTACGAGGGCCATTGTCATTGGGGTGGTATTGCATATCACCATTTACAATAGTAATGAGCTTGACAGTCATCTAAGTGGGATGGGTCGAATTGGCCTGTTCATGCGCAGCATATAGATTGACGCGATCATGAATTGGAAATAATCACTATATATATACCAGTGTATATAAGTGTTGTGAATGGTCGACTAGAGTGTCAGGTACCTATGTGGTTGCACCATGGGATTGAGCCGAACTGTCCACGTTGAAATGTTAACACATGGGCAGTCTCATTGGTTCTCCTGAAAACCAATGTAAAATTACCCTTGCCAATAGGGGGTCAATTTGCATAATTGTGTGAATATAATAGTATTCTGTATTAACTACCATTAAATCATATCCGATTCACCAGTTATACTGTTTATACACGGTTGATGAAGTGGCATTCTATTTAAACAGGATGCAATATTTACTTAGTGTATTTTCACCCTTCGGTATCAGTATTCATTCAGTAAATCCGTTCCTGTATAAAACTATGGCTAGCACATGCAGCAGACTGATAAAAGATTAGGGGCAAGATATATTATCAGTGTGTGTAATGAACCATTGTCAGGTTAGGCTATGTAGGCAGATCCAGACTTCTCGGTTAGCAAATAAAAGATAACCATAATCTTTTTTTATTAGAGATTAGGTTGCATGGCTAGAAATAGATTTCAATGAGGTAAATACATTCATTTTTCATCTTTATACAATACTGAGCCTCAAGATTATTCAATAGTTTTGTTTCATGATTTTATCCTCTTCTGATGTCAGTATTTTTCGACCTTGGTTCATAACTCACAATTTCTGTTGATCTCTGTGACAAAGTGAGGGGATTTTTGAGTCACTTTGAAATCGATCAATTTTAGACCACCATTAGAAAGCTGGAAGCACTTGACGGCTGTTACGTCCTGATATGGGACTCATCAGCAGTACGCCGAAAGGTCCTGGGTTCGACTCCTGTGAGTAACAAGAGTCGTGGACGATCACTGATGATAGGTCCCATACAAGGATGAAACGACCATCCAGTGCTTCCAGGTTTCTAATGCTGTTCTAATACTGATCGACTCATGATTTCAAAGTAACGGAAAAAAATCTCCACATCCCTTCAATACAAAATATGAGTTTTCACCTGACTTAATCACCTTATTCTACTAATCTAGTGTAACTTAGATATGTCTAGGCAAATATTTCAGCAAAATATGACGAATCATCATTGAAATATAAATAAGAACATTTCTCTAATCGATAACTTTTGTGAAAGTGTAGTTTTATTTTTAGTTGTTTATTATAAAAAACCTTCAACGATATTTTTTCTCTCAGTAAATTTAATGTTCTAACAAATCAATGAGTTTATATAATAATAATAATAGTAATAATAATAATAATGTTGATTGATTTATATGATGAACCTAGTTCATGACGAAGTTTGATAGTTTGCATGCATGCAGACGAAACAATATTGACAGTTATTCACAAATTTGAAATCAGTTGTATACCACAGTGATGATCACTTTGGATTACTACTTTTGAGTAACTTTTAAAAGACATAAAACGTGAATAATTAACTTTCATGGAATAGGTCACTTGAAGTATTGTAAAAATCAATCAAATGGTTGGTTGGTTGCTTTTAGAATTTTGTATGCTCAAAACAATCATAACACTGAAATTTTGGGTTTTCACCAGTTTCAACTTTCTTTACTCTGAAATAACTAAAAATTTTTAAACCTGACTCTTCTTACAAGCCTTAAGACAACTTTATTTGCTCACAAACGTATATTTATTGGGCACCAAAGATAGGATCCTTTGAGATTATACTTGTATTAAGCTGTATTATCGTTTTTCGTTATATAGTCTCTGTAATATTATTGCTTCGTTTCCTGTCCCTCATTTCACAAGCGCAAAACGAAATCGCAGGATATTAGTTAACGTGGGTAAGGAGAGTCTTCTAGCTTGTTGGTCAGTTACCTTGAGTTTTGCAAAATGAAGCTTCCTTCATATAAGTTATTGTTTTTACCGAAGAAATTAAAGAATTTATCACATTCTTGAATCAATATTTGGATACAAGTTAATCATTCAGATAAAATTAAACTACAGTGATTGATGTCATTAATGGGTCATTCAGCGTTTTAACTAGACAAAGAGTTACTTTCAAAATCATTTATTAATTTGTTGAGATTCAATGTAAACAGGTGTTTAATTCTAGATTTCTATCTCATTGATTCTGTCGTGTATTGTATGTCTTATTAAGAGTGGTTGCTTGAAATAAAGCCATCAACAAAATACCATCTAAACTAATAAGTTTGATTTTACTTTGAACCATTTTTGTGGTTCTAGTAAATCTGACATGGTGGTGCAGATTTTTGGTGAAGTTTCGTTCCCTGAGCTGAATTATTGAGTTGTGGCGCTTAGAGAGTTCTTCTGAACATCATTGTTTACTTACGTAGTAGTGTAATAGTCCTACAAAGTGGTTTCATACCGTGGTATACTGTTTCAAGGCTGCACATTGCAACCACTTATACTGAACCTATCCTACATATCGACTGATGACCATTGCAAACATGCACTTAAAAACTTTACAAATATCACAGCTATAGTTCTTTACAGTAACAGTTCTTGAAACTACTACACTTTACTGTTATAGAACCATTTCCATTTCAAGTAGGAGTATGAAACGATAACACAAATGAATGTTAGTTGGAAGATCTTTTACAAGAAAATAGTATATTATTTCCGAATAAACAATTCTATCATTGGTTGAAACTGATAACATTATCAAAACTTTACCTATCATTTAAATATGGTGTTTTACTCAATCTCACAAAATGTGTTTATTTCTTAAATCAACAGTTTATAAAAAATTTTATATAATTTTAAACGTTACTCACATTTTATCTCCGGCAGAAGACTATATATATTGATTCCAATGACTTGCACCAATACTGTATAAGTGTATAATTTCGCCTAACTGCTATTGAGCAATTTTGAAGCAACTAATTATGGCGATAAATTTTTTATTTTCAATATTAAATCGATCGATATCAGTATTTTTATTGAACACATTTAATCTGGTGAAGAACTATATGCTTCTTCTACACGTTAATCCACACTTGTGTGTTGCATGTGATGATTACATTGTTTACTCCAATAATAACTCCCTAATTCTACACTCAACTAACTGTCTAAGTAGATTAAGGAATTTTCTCATAGATTTGTACACATGTGACCTTAGATATGAATGTATGTTTATATATATATATATATATATATATATATATATATATACATATAGACTGTAACCTAGTATACCGGTAACAGATAATATCTGCTCATTAATTTAAACACCTCACCTACTTTGTGCAAATAAAAACACACAACTCATTTCATGATTCCAATAAAAATTTGAAGAAAGGGTTATTACAAATAATTTGAACATAGAATACGTATTATTACTAAGTAACAATAAAAAGTAGTATTACTTGTACGTGTCAAAATGTGACAGAACAAATGTGACTAAAAATTAATTGAAATATTTTATATGCACATAACTGATCTAGTAGTATATATCACGTGAAAAAGTTACCAATATCATGAAAAAAAAGAATTTAGAAAATTGATTAAAAAAATTAGAAAAAAATTTATTCAACAAATAACTTACTTCGATTTCGTAAACCAGTCTCTGGATTTAAGTATGGTAAATATTTTTCCAGCAAGCGAAGTCCTTCATCTTGATATCGATCGTAAGTGTACTCACAGTAAACTGAGTAAAGCGAAAGTAGATAGGTAACAGTAAAATAATCAATATATATATAAATATGTATTGATCAAAACAAAGAATTGTAATCTAGCATTGTCAGTTAATACTGTTAATATTTAGTGCTACTAGCTCTCAAACAAATCTTACTGTTCATATTTAGTAGCATAAGTCAATATGTGTGGTGGACAGTTCAAAATAAAATCATTATCACTTGTCTTAACTGGTACTTCAGAAGTGCACAGTTACAACGCTAGCTCGAATCAAATATCGGATCGTCAGACCTTGTGTTGAGCGCACAACTGAGTTTGAAACAAATGGTTTGCTTTTCCAACGTCTACCAATCCACGTTGTTGTGTGATCAGCATTTTTGGAGACTGTTAATATCCGTCATACACTTAAAATGGCTGGACCAATGTGGTCATAACTTTCCACCAGGAAATCGAGAACTACCTCTCAAAGTTAGTTACTAGTGAGCAGATTGTTATTATTTGTGTAATCGGTTTGCAAAGATTGTTGAAATACGGTTCATATGCGTATGGGATTGTGAGGTATGTAGAGATTAAATTAAGCTGAAGGGAATTTTGTTTTCCTCATAACCGGGGCGTTTACTTACTGTTGATTTCCTATGTTCTAGTCAGAATTTAGGATAGTTATAGTTCAATAGTATCAGAAAAATGACTTTCAGAATTGTTGACAATAAATTTTAGTTGCTTTCTGTCAATTTAAGTTGAAAATTGATGCATTCCGCACATGATGCACATCTGCCAAAAAAGATTGATCAATTGCAGTCATAAACATCAACAGAAGTATTCAAACAACCAATACAAATGAATTAAACTTCACCCCTCTAGTTTCGACTCTCTAAACTTTTCTCACTGAATCATACTTCGTGAATAGTATCTTCTAATCCTAACCTCTCCGATTACTTCTAATTCCCTTACTACCTCTTCTACTATTGGATTTGAATTGACGATTACTTCTCTGTGCTGATGTGGTATGGCAACATGAACTGATGTACTTGTGTACAAAGTTCTACGTGGCATCTGACTGACTGACTGACTTTTGACAAAGTCACTGGACTTAGTAGCTTAATGGCGTTAGAAGCGAACAATCAATCAGTCAATCAGTAGCAACGTAAAACTACGTACGTACATCAGTTCCTGTTGCCATACCACATTAGCACAGAGACGTAATTGTCAATTCAAATCCCATAGTAGTAGAGGTAGAGGTAGAGAAGTGAACAGTACTGGGTTTCAGTCCCAGAGTGAACATCAACCTTAGGATCAAGATATATCCATCTGATGATTATCAAGAAGAATGAAATGCCCGTCCTTGATTCCGCTGCCGGTAACCATCTGGCTTCTCTGAGTTTGTCATATTCTCCAAATCATAAGTTTTATGTGTATTAACTCTGAAGGCATGCATTAGATGGATGACTGTATCCTTTGTGATATCAACTTGTAGAAAATGCAGTAATATGGTAATATATTAAAGATTCATTTCCATTACCCTTATTGAGCATTTAAAATCAACTGTAAATGTCTAACTGAATAGGTTATTACTTAACCAGTTTCTTAATTTAAATTGATTTAAACCAGTACTTTGTTGCTCTTCTTACTAACTTCTTTGTTACATTTATTTTCAATGTTCGAAAACTGAGTACTTTAAAAGTTAGATCCTTTTAAAATAACTAAGAACAGAATTCTGTTGTTAGATATCAAACTCTATATCAGATTATGTCACATTTCAACTGATGATAATAATTTAAACCTAAGTAACACCTCACATATTGAACATCGGAAAAAAGACCACTGAACATTGAATATGACATACGAATATATTTATTCAACACAAATGAATATTAGTTGAGGAAGCTCGAGTTCTAATTTGTTAAGTGATCTCCAATTGATTTCACATGGTAATTCTACAAGATGTTGGTTATTTATATTCAATTTTGTATAGAAAGAAAATGTTTCGGTACTTTCAATGACTTGTGACAACTATGATTGTTAGAACTCATATTTAAGATTAACTACACGTTCAAAAATTGTTGACAGTTTGTGTAAATGTAACATAGTTGAATTGATGAAGACAATTACAACTCTATATTTAACCACTGTCTATTTGAAGTTTATTGAAAATTGTGGCTAGCTTTGTCAGAGAAACTTTAAGAAATCTCATTTTTCTAAGTTTTATTATTGACAGTACGTAGAGTTGTGATGAAAACGTTAAACTATTGAACTCTTAAAACTTGTCTTTATCACAATTAACCACTTAAACTATAAAATTAATTCTGTTACTGTCAAACCAGAATTTTAGTCAATGACAAATAAATAATCTAACTTCCACCTAGACTTCCGAATGTCTTGTACGTAGATTTCAATCCTCTATTAGATAATCGTTAAAATGATGGAATCTCTTAATCATATTGTATAACATCAAACTAAGGTTTCTTCTTGGCGTAGCTGGGTAGTGGGAAATACCCTGTTAACCAACTCAGGCAGGTCGACGGTGGTTAGACTTACTACCCACTTTAATATCATAACTGATAAAGTCTTTTGATGCTTAAACCCCGAAACTTATATAACTTTTGTTCATGCATATATATACAAAGAGTACACCTAATGGCTCACTTAGAATGGAACATTAGCTGAATAGTCAGCACCAAGACAAAAAGTGAGACCCAAAACATTAAAAGTTAAATACAGGTCTTTGAATAGAAATAATGTGATGAAGAATAGAGCGCTTGTGCCTAAGTGTACGTCATGAAGTACTTAAACAAAAATTTGAGCATTACTGGTATGCATTTAAGACATGAGAGTTTCTGGGTGCAACTGCGTTCACGGGAGTGGCAACCATCTGCTCTTCCAGGGAGCGGTTATACCAATGTGTATACTAAGAGAAAACTTGTGTATTTCCGCTGTGCAAGTGACAGATTAGCTGACCTCCAAGAAAACGTGTGCTTATGTATATATCACGAGATATATGGGGTGAAAACTCATGTGTTTCTAAGATGCATGCATGTTCACGTGCTCCTTGTGTGACCCCGAGATCCTCGGCGTTATAGTTCCCCATGAAACACATCCACGCTGTGGGTTTGTGTACCTCGGAGGAATAATCTTTTCAGAAATGCTACTTGGCGTCACTCAAAGAGGTTTCACCATTATCTAAAGGAAAGCAAGAGCAAAGAATCGTTTTTGCTTTCCGATTCCCGTAATAATTGAACCTTCAGTGTTGAACAAAATCAAAAGATAACTATGACATGGAAAGGGTTGAATTTCTAGGGTTAGCTTGTTTTGATCTGGAAATGAACAAGGATTACTAGGATTTCCTAAAACGATTAAAAAATTTTGAATGCATTTAACAGTTGATCAATCAAATTAGGAACAAAAAAGGTTAAGAGTTATTCACTAGATTTTTCGAAGAACTTTTTAAAACAGCTGATTGACTAAAAGAAAGTTTTGGTAATTTCTTGGATAGTTGAGAGGCTCTTAAGCAATTATAAGTGCCTTTTAGGATTTAGAAAAACGTCGTTTTAGATAAACATACCAATTTCTAGTTAAACTAAGTGTGGATTTCATTGTAAAAAGTACTCAAAATCTATGAATTTCATAATGCATGTATTGAGCTAAGTAGGTTGTTGAATAATATGGTTAGATACTTCATAAATAAGCTCTTTCTAAGATTATCAGTATCATAGATATGCTATGAATAGTATTTAACAAATCTCCTTATTGATTCCATCATATTTGTTTGAAATTCGCCAAATTTTCATAAGAAAACACCCATACTAGGAAAAATTAAGCATGTATTGAATTCGTAATTTGTGGTTTGTTGAACTTTCATGCTCCTTTTTTAAATTCATCAGATAATAGCTAACTTGGCTTCAAAGTTTCAAGGCGGATAAATCAAGCCATATGGTCTCATTTTTTGATCAGTGATGAATATATATATATATATATATATATATATATATATATATATATAGTAGAAAGGGACATAGGGACATAAGATTAAAAAAAACGCTCTTCCATTGAATAAAATTTAATTGAATTGACTATTGAACAATTGGGGTACATATTGTTTTTTTGACCTTCATACTTTAATATTATATTTAATCTCAGATCAATAAATAAAATTGCTTTTCAATCTAATATTGAATAGTAAAGTAAATTATTTACAATAACAA